TGTGTATCATGAGAATTGATTTAATTATTATCATTAAATTAATTTATATAACAAGAAAAGTAACATTGAAAATTACTTAGCATAGGTTAACTTTCAGTAGTAATTAAGATTTTTATTAACACCATCAGTATAGCACATGACGATCATTTACACCAATCACTACGAATTATTTTTGCATTGCTATTCGGAAAAACTCTTCATGGTATACACAATACTATACCTGTTTCGTTTATGATATACCTCATAAAATTATACAGACCCCATGTTACAAGAGGCTGATCCTGGATAAAAACCAGGGTAAATTCAAGAGACACTGTAACTGCATCTGCCAACAATAGGATTAATTTACGAGGTACATCATAAACGAAACAAGCATATTTTTTATTTGGTCTTCGGAAACTGATTTAATACTCAAAAATCTTCAGATCGGTTAGGGCTATGCCTTGTTGGCCAACATATGGGGAAGGTAGTAGCTGTCAGTATTACGTCGTACTAACACCTCTATTCGTGCGTGTGTTTAAAGCTTTGAACACCTTTCGTTATTTTGTGCGGTATCTCCACCATTTTCATCGAATTATCACTGCGCTAGGACACCAACAGACAATCACGCACCTTTAATCATCGAGCCCAGGTAGGTCGACAAACGATAGTGGCGGTTTCCTAATTACGCGCACCTTTCCCGAACACTCTTTTTACAAAATAAGCAAGATGCGACATTCTTCAGTTCTTTGTGGACTATAAAAGGTATCGCAAAATTTCCACGGTGGTTGTTACGTTTGTTAGAACATTAAAAAGGAAAGAAACACATCATTACACGAAGTATCAACGCAATGATGGTTTAGCAAAACCGAAAACCAACGTATTAGAAATTTTTTATCCATTTCCCTCGGGACGCCACAATGTAGAGTAAAAAATACGATCCAGAACCAGATGTGTTAGGTGTATGTTTAACTGAACCAGTAGATTACTCACCCAAGTGTTCAATAAACCTGTTTGTACACTTTAGTTACATTATTTGTTAAGAGGGTGAGCATGTTACCACTTACGTAAGGAAAAAACTGGACTCAAATTCTAATAGATGGGGCAACGCACTTATAATCTCATCTAAATCTCGACCAGTTCCTTTCAAACGTACGTGCCGTGCGATTTTAATTGTAAAAAATTTAGGTAACTAGGTCAATTCCTAAATTTATAGAAAAATATGTTACATGAACGATGAATGGTGTACAGTTCAACCACTTCATTTCTAACTGTTTTTGATAACTATTGCTTTTAAAACTAGTTACCAGTCCCGAGTACGGAGAAAACTATAGCCAGTATAATTTTTTGTAAACTTTTTTAATAAGAGATAGGAAGTTAAAAAAGCTTACAATACGATATACCAGATAATACCTGAAGTTGTCGAGCATGGAACTGTAAGGAAGAAAGGAAATCTTGCTTCTGGATGTCGTATTCTACGTTCTTGTTTTTTCCTCTAGTTAAGAAATTTTAGTCGTCCTCATTTATTAAAAACTGACAAGAGCGCACTTCGATCACCACCCTTCATAGTATTGTTGCCATATGAATCTCCCCTAAGCCAGCGGGATGACGCGGCCAATATGGGGCGTAACTGGTGAACTGGTGTGGAGTATTATTCGACAGCGTGATCACTTGATAAGACAGCACAGCTTTGAAACACATCTCGAAGCAACCGAAAATTAAGGTAAGTCCATACTCAGAAAGCTGAACAGATGGATTTCTAAAGGTGATATTCATGGGATCATTTAAAACCCTAATTTCATTTGTCGAGGAATGTCGGCACTGAATTGGGCACGACCCTATCCACACAGTTCAACAACAACAAACACTGCCGAAATTTTTTTACACATTCAATTTTCATGTTATCCTGTAAACTTGTAAGCATGTGAAGTTATTAGTCTATCTGTTCGGCGTTCTGAGGATAGTAGACGCGACGCTGCCGGACAGCTAGGAAAAGAGGAGGCCAGTTGAAGGTAAGTAGTACGCAAGTTCGGTTGGGGGTTTGGGGGCTTTGTGGAGGTCACAGTGAACCTTCACAATCATACGCAAAATTATTATGTATAAATAAATACCTCGTCAAGTATAATTTTCATTTAACTACTTTCCGTTATCCGTTTTTAAACATTGTAAGTTTGAAACAATTAAATGCCAAATAACCAATAGTAAGACATGTGGTTTATATTAATTTCATTTTTTTTTTACTTATCTGCATTCCTTGTGCACGATCTTCATATGTAAAGATATTTTTACTTCAGCTGCTTAGATTTATTTATCGATTAATTAAATTAAACTGTTTTATACCGGTTTTTTCCAAAATTTGCGGCAATTGTAAATTTAGAAATTTTTATTCGCCGGTGGAAATAATATCTATATTTTTTTATGTTACCACCTTCATTCGACGCATACCAAGTCGTCAAATTCCCTCTCGTAATAGTCTTTTTGTCTTTCTGATTGCTGTAGGGGGCCTCATACACTCCACTATTGAAACAGAAATACAAGAAAATGTTAGGACATCATTCCTATACCCGGCTAATGGAAGAATTGACCGAATTATGCACTTTTCGAGTGTTATAAGAATAAAATGTCCTAGATGCGGTGGAAATGCCCTCTTCTATAAGACCATCTGAAAATTTCACCTGCTGTTGATGGACTGCATCATTTCTTTAAATATCTAAAGGCACACTTGCTCAATTTTCGACCATTTGTTTGATTATTCTATATGTATTTTTGAATCAGCATGACCTTCAAAAAACTGCATGTTCGAATCGTAGATTAAACCAAAATAAATGGTGTTGTTTATGTGCAATATGTTAGCCTCAACTGTGCCAAAAATCTGTCATAAATGTCATAGCGTTTTCCCAATAATATTTTTGGCATTTGTTCCAACAAACAAAGTTCTTTTTTTTAAACTACAAAGTAGACTTGTCTGACTACTCGTTTTTTATATCTACACCGCGTATTGACAATACTCAGGTAACGACTTTTTAAATTCTGTCAGTGAGTTGATAATGAAAGTGTTTTTAATCTTCTTATTCGTGTTCAGTAATCACCCGTCGATGGTTTCGTTTGAATGGTTGGTAACTCTATTAATCCACATGGCAATGAGTAATTACTAATTAATAATTACACAAGCCACAGTCAACTACTTGGTTTAATTTGCAACTTTACGTTTCGATTTGGGATTGGAAACTTTTGAAGGTTTTTTTAGTTTAGAATTTATGGAGGTATAAAAATCATAATACACGATTTGTGGTAAAATGCCGTCTTGATACTTTAAATTTTTCTACTAAAATTTTAATTGTAACCTATTTTTTTTTATTTCTACCTGACAAAAAAATTATGTACTGAATAAAAAACTTAATTTTTCACTTTACTATGTTAATTTTGTAGGTAGCAGATATCTTGTATGGATTTATTGCAACTTAAATTTCTTTGTTTTAACTTGTTTTGTCAAGAATCATGGATGTTTCACTTTATTTGTCCTGTAACAATCCTATATGGTGAATATGGTCCAATTTGCAGGTGAAGGCTTGTAATGAGATTTATAGTGACTATGAGTACCATAACTTATAATTAACAATCTTTTAAGGATGGGCAAGTTCACGTTGAACCAATCTCATTTCTTCAAATCAACGTTGTAAAATGGGAACTATTTAGAGAGAGAGAGAAAGAAAAAAAATCCTCTCTAAACATTGTGTATAGAATTGACATATTTTTAACAGCTTACGTTTCAGGTATCGTAATGCACATCAACTAAAAGTTTGCACAATTTTAAAACTAATTGTTTTTTACAATTAAAACATTTTTTTTTAATTTTATAGTTAACCACTCAGCTGCACAATTTGATTCAGGAAAGTATAGAATTTATTTGAAACTTCTGAATTCTGATTCGCTTCGCAAGAGTGGTTCTGAGCGGCCAATGCATCAATTAAAAATACTATGGAGACGATACTATGTAAATAATTATAGGTACGGTTTCCCTCTATAGTGGTATAATATTAAATTTATAAGATAATTCATTATACTTACTTGAAATAGTGTTGTAATAATCATTATTCAATCGTTTTACATTAAGAATACTATCTGTTAATTAAAAACCTACCACATTCTTTGGTAACACATTCAAGCTTCAAGCATCTTAAAAAAAATTACCAATGAGCGTCATAGTGAAAACAGGTGCGAAGTATAAATAGAAATTGGTATTTGTTATATCGATTAATAATAATAATAAAAAAAAATGCTCATGTAGGTAGGTACACAAATTCAACAGTAAACTGTACACATTAGCATGATCAATTAGCATTCACATACAGAATACTGATTCATGTTCTAGTTATCATTGTGAGACCTTCTGGTTTGACATGGTTAAATCGTATCGATGGATTTTCTTTTCAATTAATAACCACTTATTAAACCTTTTCATGTGGAAAGGTTCAGTTTTACGCGTGTTAATATACCACTATTCTTTGTTGTTTAGTTTTAAAAAATAAAATAGAACCTAGAATATTTCTTTTTTCCGAAGCGGTAAACTGCACTGAATATTAATTAAAATAAAACAAATAAAAACACCTACGTATACAGGTAGGTATGAAGAAGCGGAAATATTCGCAATCGTGTTCGGTAAAAAACTGCGAAGTTAATTATGAATTGTGTAGAAGGATTCGTCCATAAACTTTAAGTTTTTTTTTGTTAATACCCTACGACGATTTCTCACCAGAAAAAAGTCGAATTTTAAAACTCGAATAAAATGGTAAAGAAATACTGGAAATAATTGGAAGCAGTTACCCTGAAAGAAATGTTACAACAGAAGTTGCTCTTTTAATGTTCACGCAGCAATCATCCCTCTTGTATGCTGATCGTTTTTAATCGCATTAACACAGCCAATAATAAATTACTATCAACTAAAAAGTAGCATCTTTATACTTTCCAACTGGTTTACCTATAGTTGCTTTTGAACAGAATGAAATTCTTCTTTGCTATACCTGAAAGCGATGAACGCGTCGCCCTGTTCTCCACCAACGATGTGTACACCTCCTTCCGGAATGCTTAATCCGTGGAAGAACTGACGTATATCGAGAGCATTAGCAGACCACGGTAAGTTTTGCAGACGTATTATGACACTCATCTTAACCTAGAACTATAAAAACGTGAAAGAATAAAAACACATGGAATCAAATGCTGTCATAAGCTGCAGGTTTTCAACCAAAATTAAAAAAAAATCGATCCGTGTACAGTCCTTAAAGTCACACACGGAACGCAACAATTAAACTAAAAAAATTCTTATTGTACTTGGTATTCAGTCGATTTGATGGTGTACATATAATTTGTAACCCAGTTTTTGCCGTTAAGCGTCTGGGGGAGTGGACACACCGAGCCGTACAGGCGGACGGGCGATCCGATCCTCATCGGTCACCCATCCAAGTCTCGATTCCGGGTAGCGTTGCTTAACTAGGATTAACGCTACGTCGGGACACGACTTGTACCGTACCGCACCCTTACAAATATAAATATGTATTCAAATTCCTGCCAAAAATTTTATGATATATTCAAAAATGTGTCATTTAGCGACTTGCATAACGCAGTAAAAACTTCTAATTTTATTAATAAATAATTATAATTTTACAGTAATATGATGTTCCATGATCAATTTTACACACTGTACACGGATAGGTACTGTCTCTTTTTTGGATATGTATTTTTTTATAACTTTGTTAGTACATGTTAAAAAAAGACTTAATATTGGTACACTTTCAATGTTTATAAAATGTGAACTTACGGTGAGACTGTCAAACAGATCAATATCATGAAATATACAAAAAGTGGCCATTTCAAATTCCACGTTATGAAAATAAACTTGTGTAAATCTGTTCGGGTTTCAAATACGAGACAAAGTGGTTATGATATAAAAAATCCGTCACGAATTTCTTAAATATCGTCCTAAACTACTACCTACGTCACAGCAATTTTTAAATCTAAATAATTTATAGGTTATCCCAAAAATGTCTTGGCTTTTTGCTGATTGGTAGCACTTATTTAAAACTTCGCAATTACGAAAGAAAATTGAAGTGCTGTAACGACAAAATGGCCTTCAATTGTAACTTTCATGTCGCGAATGCACGGTAGAGAAGTATTATTTGAGTAGGAGGCGGCAAACGATCATTTTCCTTATCCAAAGTTCATATTTTAACAACGATGCATTTGATTTGTTTTGTCATAATCTTAATCAACAATTCATTGTTTCGTATTTCTTTTACTCAGGAAATACTTAAGTCATGTAAGGCTTTTCCTGTAAAGTAGTCTGTCACGATAATTTATCTTAAGACTGTTGAATCCTATCGGCTACATCCTTTTCAAGCTAAGTAGTGGTAAATGCATGTATAAAAACGAGATTTTTTTGGGTATATCTAGTTTTCAACATTGATCTATATTTTTTCGTTTGCATCAACAGCGGCAGGATTAAACTTAACTTTAACCTTGAGAAGAATGATATGATAAGATCGCTGGGATTCACATGGTATTTGGTTTAGATTTAGTTTGTCTGCAGATTTGTAGTCTTCATATGATCAATTCTTTACCTTTTTCTTTTATATACCTAACATTGTATAGTATACCTCATCTTAGGAAACTGATCCACAATGCCCACGTTTCCACAGAAGTCTAATCCTAACAATATAACGCAGAGAATTGTAGAGCTGCCCTTTTTCTCAAAATTTTCTCGCCTATGTAATACCCTCTTCTGTTGCTTAAAAACATGTTGTATGTTCATATTCAAGCAAACTATTCGCATTAATAACAGTAGTAGCCTTGATTCATAACTTGAACGTGGAAAATTAATACATCATGTATTTGACCATGGACGTCTGAATAGAGGAATACTTACCTTCTGATATGTAATTACTGCGGAAGCGTAATAAAAACGTCCAATTGTTAATGCTACCCGGAAATGTATTCCAAACTTTTTTGGAAACGCAAAATTACACGACTGTCTAAATGTGTGTTTCAGGTATACATCCTGCAGAAATATGCATGCTAGATTTTGTGAAATTTCAAAAAACTTCAGAATTACTCTGGGTGGGCCTGTTTGTTACCGTGAGGTAAGATTATTACTTCTTTTTTTTTGTAAATTATAACGCAAGTTAGAAAACCAACATTTTTGAAAATTGCATGATATATGTAAAAAAAAAGTGTTTCCTAATGTAGGTTAGTCAAATACACGATATTATTTACCGTGGCAGCTTTTAATAAGTTAATTAAAAAACTTTTGCCATCTAGCACAGTGAACAGTCGATACATGAAGTACACTTTAAAAAGCCTGCGTAAAACTACATGGAATAATCTATGATCCAAAGTGTTACTTACCAAGATGACTACACCAAAGAATATCTAATAAGGAAAGGATTTCGATAACTAATCTGTACAACTATTGCAATTATAATAACAACTCCTTATCTGACCGAGTTGGTATTATCGGCACGTGCTGATATTAGTAGGGAAACTCCAGTTCCGTACGACCTGCCCCATAATTTTTTAGTTTCAAATATCGTTTTCAACCTCTTTATATTTATTATTTAAATTAATAAATTATATACTAATTGATGTGCCATACCAGATGATTTCCTTCAGATAAAATTTTACCTCAAAATTAAGGTAAAATCACTTTTAATATCGGTAATTATTACATACAATAAAATGATTTCTTTTACAGTGTAGCTTAATTACATATTTAGTTTATTCTACAAAGTGTAATCTAGGCTCTGTTGATTTTAAAAAGTAATATGTATGTTCATTTGTGAAAATTGCTTACTCGAAATTCAAGATTCTATAACTTGTCGACAATCGTGAAGGTATGTAGATGTTTTAGCAGAGTACAAACAAACTTGTCTTAAATAAAAACGATCTTGATTTTTCATTCATAATCATCTCATTCGTCATCACTGCGACTAGTAACATAGAAGAATTATACGCTTGGATCCATTACGACCGCCTTAGGATCGCACACGTGGTAGCGGCACACTCTACCTAGTTCTTTATTACATAGACACTCGAATAGTAAGATACAACGTGAGTTGGCAGGTCACTCTACAGATAAATTTTAACGCAAAGTATGGAGCAGAAGAATAATTTTATGTTAAATTTCGACAAGGTTTTTTTTGTTCGATCTGTTCTCTAACAAGCTGCTATTATTAAGCACGACGACCACTAGCAACAATAATGAAAACATCATCTTTTATGGAGACACTGGGCGTGAACTAACGAAAACGGACAGTGTTGACGCTTGCAAAGTGCGATTTCCATAAAAGATGATGCTTTAAATATTGTTTCAACACTTCATATTATATTCTATTATATTCCTATAAATGGGCATCTTGCTTTGATTGCATACACTTCGTAATAAAAGTTGTATCGTAAGCAGAGCGGCAAACCACCAATGAGTTGCATGAATTTTCTGTAAAGATAAATTCGAGGTTAATAACTTCTTTATAGCCCATTATGTGCAATTAAGTATCAAAACCTTTTTCAGGAAATAGTTAACAGCGAATGTAACTGCAGCAGACGGAGAGAATATTTTGATCCCAACATGTAAATTGCAGCGGTGTGCAGGCAGTACTTGTACCCAAATGCTGTTACTCGATGCGTATAAAGATGTACCTAACACAGAAGTTTTTGTTAGGGCGTTAACGTCCTGAATAATTTTATATGTATTAACGATTTTCCGAAGGTTGTTTCGACAGAACTTCCCTCGCTACTGAATTATAATAAAACAAATCCAGCTCTTTCGAAAAATTATAAAATTTGTTTATGTGAATTTTATTTTCTTTATGAGAACCCTTAGAAGTTAAAATAAGGATATGTATGTAAGGTTAAGGTTAAAGTAAATGTAAAGAAGCGTGCTGGGTGTACGTTTCAAATGATCTTTCCCTTCACAAAATTTTCTGATGTCAACAACATTTTTGCAAGACATGTATATCACTTTGGATAGGTGCAGTGTAATACTAATGATAACAGTATTGTATTCTTAAATTTTCGGGAAAATGGAGTGAGCCGTCTCCTATTTAGTTAATAAAATAAATTGATCATTGCAGGTTTTGCAGTTTCAAAGTTAAATTGGAAAATATTGTTATACAGTTTTGAATTTTTTCCCAAAAAATCAGGATGTCTAGGGTGAAAATTCGACATGGATTCACAACCACAAGTGTAGGAGTATCTTATTTTATAAAATTTAAAAAACTTTAAACTACAAATTTTGAAGAGGACGTCATTTTACTGGTGGTGAGGATGATGAGCGAAAATTTAGTTAGCATTTAACCATCTACATGATATTCCTAAATATTTACATACAAAATTCGTTTCGGAGATTACGTGCATAAAATAAAAATGGATATAGACGCCAGCCAGAGACAGACAGACCGACCGACGCAAATGGGAGACCACTTTTTTCGTACTCTAGAGATCATGACACGTCGAGAAAATATGAAAGTGGCAATTCACCCGATGGACTCGATTACTACACTTCCTTAGCTTACGTTCGGGAAGTAAAAAGTGAAAAATTATTATATTATTAGTTTTGTAATAATGTAATAATATTATACAACATTGGGGATTAATGGAAATATCATCATTTTTGATTTGGTAAATGCCGCTATTTTGAAGGAGAATCATCGCAGACGCAGATGTGCTAAGACGAAAAAGAAATGAGTTTCGAGTTATCTCCAGTCATTACAGGTAAATGAATGACCCACTTAGGGCATGGAATGCTTAGAAAGATAAGTTGCCAAATATTTTTTTTTACACTGTATATTATTATTATTATTATTGATAAGTCAATTTTTAAAAATAAAGGCGGCAATAAATACTCAAGATATAAAAAAGCAAGTGCACCAAGAAAAACATATTTCTATAATTTTTTATGTTTTTTTTCTAAATCTGTTTTTGTTTCAGGCAGAAATAAAAAAAAGTGTCTCTCTTAGGACGTCATCCAAAGGGAGAATTTTTTATTTTACTTCCTCATTTTTTTGTTCTTTTCAATTTTATTTAATTATTAATATATTGTCAATATTTTTGTATGTTTTTATAATAAAACTGATTAAAGTAATTAATTATAGTCGTAATAAACCCAACAAAAACTAAAAAAATAATTGAATTAATGGTAATTTTTTATTCTGGGGCGCCGAAAACACGATAGTAGTGCAAGGTTAAAACAATTTTATAACAATTGGTCATCAAATTCACCCAATAAAAGTAAAAAAATAAAAAAAAAAAAAAATTAACCAGTGGATTACCATTTAAGATTTATTTGTAAAGTTTTTGTCGTGATCACACCATTTATACTTGTCGCAAAAAGTGTGTATCCTTGTAAAATTTTACGATTGTAACGTTAAGTATAATAAATCCCAACCTGGGTGTTGTAAAAAAATCAAACAAAATGGACACGCTAACTGAAATTTACGGTCGACAAAGTTGGGTCTCAGTCTAAAAACGGTTTCTGCCACATTTATGGGCGGACTGTTGTTGCTTATATTGTAGCAAACGACTTCTAAAATTTTACAAGGATACAAATTGTCATACAACTAAAACAGCAGTGGAATGATTTCCCTTTCAAATCAATAAAGTTTTGGCTTGAAAAGATACTTCAGAAGTTTCCAAGTGATATTTTTTAATGTATGTACTATGTAACAAAAAACAGTTTATACTACTAAGTCGGAAGTTTTCATGCATATTTAATGACGTTATAACTTTGACGAGTTTCTTTTTATTGTTTGGGTATACCACGGCCAGTGGGCTATCATATTTATACAATGATTATAATATGTATCGAAGTGTTCTATTAACAGAATTATCCCGATTCAGAGAGATTTTCGTATATCTATTTTTGAGAAGATGACATGGAAATTTAGTTTACTAATACAAACAAAAAAATTCGTACATGGAAATTTAATAAAAATTCTGTCGGTTGTATGTAGTATGTTGTTAAGTAATTTTGGTGCACTTGTGTTATCTATGTTACTATGTTATTTATAATGTGGTCTCAGCGATCAGAAAAACTATCATAAGAATATTTTGTGTAAACTTGGAATTTAATGGCTCTGGTGAGACACTAAGATTTTAAAACCATAAGTTTTTCAAATAATAAATAGTACATTGTTTAATTAACGTTATTAAAATACAAAAGGGTAATCCATTTTGAGCAATAAGTGAACCTTACCTATTTCTTAGCCGACCCAAATGATTTCCTACGGCTGCTTTGTAGATTTAGTTTTTGCTTTTCGCATCGTGACTGTCCTCTGTATTTTAAAATGCGACAAGACAGATACTCATGGGAAGATTACTTTCACTCTTTACCGTGTGTCTGCTTCTTATTTTAATTGAAACTATTGTAAACAAAATCTCTATACAACAGGTTCAAATGAAAAATACCAAGTACCCTTGAACATAACACTGGAAAAATCGAAAATTAAGAAAAAACATTAATAGAACCGTGTTTCCAGTTTTTTCCTCTTAACCAACGTCTGATTCTTCGTTATATATAAATCCAGGTCTTATAAATTAAGTAACATTTTAGGGTTGACCATATAGTAACGAAAAAATGGAAGTTATCATTTGTAGGATAAGTATGATATAAAAATACATACCATGAGCTAATAGTACTTATTTTTTATTTAAAGAAACTATGGCATTCAGATTCATTGTATGTAGGAATTATATAGGTATAAATATCTCTTATTACAGTCGTAAAAAAATATTCATGTTATTTATTTCGACACTGTGATAAGTAGTCATCAAATTAAAATGAAATGTAACGCATGAAGTCAGATCAAATTACTTTATACAGTAAATTCATCGATTTTATTCCGTGGTGTGGGCTACACTCGATACGGTTTTGTTCGCTATCGTCTCGCAATTTAACTGCAAGGAATGTTTATAAAACGCGTGAACATAAAACTAGAAACGAATAAACACGGAAATTGTTCAAAATGACCGGGATTTTTTATCGGTAAACCTCGTTGGAACTTATCTCGAAATTAGAACACATTTTATTAAAACATATTTTTAACATGTACGTCAAAGATCACGGTTCTGATAAATACAACGAGAAATCAGACCAGGGCTGAACAGTACCAAACAAAACGCCCTTGTTCTCCTTGTGGGAGGACATGTTGCTGTGTATCAATAATTTATCGTTTACTGAGTTAGTGACGACTTACCTCGAAACAAAAAAAATCCTTCACAAAAAACCGCTCTAATAAGTATTTTTTACGATATAATGTGATGTGAATCTTGAAAACCCGGAAAGATTAATAGTAATAATCACAAAATGTACGAGCTGACGCTAATGTCAGCGAAAGTAGCAAACAAGATGGCCGCTGCCAGTGTCGTAGGTCGTAGTCGTAGTATTTCGTGGTTTCGTAGGTCGTCGGTCTACAACCAATCAAAATAGGCGCAGTGGCGCCAATGGTCGCTCGGTTTGACTTTGTAGTTGAAATATTTGCCGCCGCAGTTGTGACGTTCATAGCGCCACGAGTTGTTAGGTTGCCAAGTGATTTTTAAATTCTTGTAATTTTTGCTTTGTAACCGGATTTCGGTGCTGAACTTGTCAAGGTTAACCGTCTATTATTGCATAGAAGGATGGACAGATGCATCTGTAGAAGCGTTATCCCGGAAAGACTTTGCCCTATTTAGACCGCGGCCTTCCAACGCCCCGTTCGTGTTGTTTATCAAGATAGTACGTGCACGTTCGCTATTAGACGCCGCTGGCGAACATTCAGGAGTAGGTGTTGCACCATTACCATCGTTGGATAGGTCGCAAATTAGATTTCCTTCTGCGGCAGCTCTTGCGGCAATCGCCAATGAAGACCAAGTGGTGTGAATTGTGTTGTGATCGTTGAAATTAACTCACGTGGCTTACATGTGTCAGGCGATGTGTTAAACTGTCACAATGAAACTTAGCACCCAAGAAACGAAAGATCTGCACAAATATACAAAATTCTTTGCTTTAAAGAGCGCCCAAGTGATCATACAGTCCCGACTTGGCGAGAAAATTTCCACACCATGCAAACCCGACAACCAGGGCACAGATTGGGTAAACAGTTTAATCTAGCATTCCATCGACATCACTAATTGTTTATTTCTTTCAGTTTAATTTGAACATTAACGATCTTCCAGAGGTATTAGCACAAACGAAGAAAGCTTTAAATGGCGAAATTATCTCGGCCGGTTTTCCACTTTGCGTGGAAATATCCCTACGTACCCCCGAAGGCGATCAAATGGTGTTGGAATCCTGGTGCCTTAATTTGTTGTCTGATCAGTGTGACCCTACAATGAGGAACATACCAAATGTATATAACAGGATGGGGATGTTATTGAAGTCTTTAATGTCGGTCACCCGGATAACGCCAGCATACAAACTCTCTCGCAGGCAGGGTCCTGATTCATATATAATTTGCTATCGGATTTATATGGAATCGCCGTCGCTTCTTAACCTCGGCGAGGGCTATAAGTCAACGAAAATTGGGCAGATATGTACGCCAATCGGTACATTGCAATTTTCAGTTGCATATAGGACAAAAATGACCATTTCACCTACTCAGACTGGGAAGAACAATTCAATGATGGTTAAAAGTGATCACTTCAATAGTAATTCAAACACAAGAAGACATAGGAACAAGTAAGTAATACTGATTGTTGCCATTTTGTGACTAACAGAGGTTAACAACGAAGCAATATGTCATGATTTGTTCAATGTTGTGATGAAAATCTGTGCTTGTTATTTTTGTTTAAATAACTTAGGAAGTCAATTTAATGATAATATTTTTTTGTTTACATTATCACTTCATCCGTACACATGAAGCAAAAGCCACAACTCCAAGTTATGTCACAAATTTCTTTAGTGGTTAATTTAACTTAATCAGCCAATAATACATTTGAAAAGTTTTAATTAAGGTTATTGTACCTGAAGTAATGTATTAAGAACAGTGAAAGTAAAAATCATTATGTTCAAAGTGGCAATACTAATGTTTATGATATGTATCCAGAGTAGATAAAACCCCGCATAAAGTGATAAAAATGCAGAAAACAAAATGTGCAGAAAAAATAATCATTTGTGGGGACTGTCAGTAACAATAAAAAATGTATGGTTGCTAAGAATAGCCACGTTTATGTGTATATTTAATTTTTATTGTCGAAAAAAATGCTTTGCGATAATCTTATCAGCTTAAGTGACCAGTATTGCTAACATTGTAATTTATTTGTTATGTAATTTTAAAAATACTTGTTCTTTGGCTACAGTTCATGGATTTTAATTGGAAACACTTACGTCACGCGCCGAAGTTTTTGATTAAACAATTTGATTTATTTCCACTTGCGAAATACTCGCCATAGTATTTACTATTGTGAACGGCTTTTTCCATGTGTTTTTTTAAATAAGTTAATTATTCATTTATTTATCATACAATAAGAAACCTTAAGTAATGATTATAAAGTTATGTATTACAGTATTGTGTAAAAAAATGTACAGCACTTATTAAAGACGTGCTAAATTATTATAGTTGGAATTATCAGGACATTCTGAATATTTATTTTGCTAAATAATTTGTTTAACGTTTAACCTTTTACTGCGAAAAATAATCTTGCAGGCGCTTGGTGTTTTTGATATTAACGATTCACAATATCTTTTTAAAAGTTAATAGCTTGTTGTCTTCTTACAAATTTACTAAATTTATTGATATAAATAAAACCATCACGTGTCCAGTTTTGTTGCAAAATTAGTGGACTTGATAAAGGATTCGTCGAAGACAAAGACAATTAGATATAATTATTATCAGGATTATTGTTCAATTGATGTTTTAAAAAACACGTTAGAATTTATCAGTTCTATTTTTAAATGTTCGAATAGTTCAGATTAAAGTTCAGACATAAAAAATAAATGTTGCATTTATGATTGTATAATAACTTGGTCGTTGTATTATTGTTTCTCATGAAAGAAAAATTTTCAAACTAAGATATTTAAATAGCATTTGTCAGTCATCAATTACCACTTTTAATTCCAACATTATGGAGTAGTTATAGAAGACGTTACATAAATTCAAATGCGCTGTTGTATATTTATTTACTTTGAATCAATCAATATTTGCTCCATGGAAATATCTTGTAAACAAGCCTGCGATTTTACAGTACATTTTTGATGTAAATAATTCAACGCATGTTAATATTTAGTGTAAAATTTTTTTATAGAATTATTTCTGTCAAAATATAATAATTACTTGAACAGGAGTAACTGAAAGTAAAACGGTATATGTAAACAAAACATACTAATATCCTAATGCAAACGTAATTAATTGTTCAAAATTATTAATAGCTGCTTCACATAAGCTGTCGTAATTAGATTTTTTATTTATTTAATTAAGTCATTACGCACTGTTTAATCTTAGAAGAAGTGATTTATTTTTACTGCAGGGAATTACATGTTTTTATTACATAAAAGACGACAGATAAACCATTAACATCTGCTGATGTTAAAATAATAATAGAAAGTGTCTAGATGTCGGTAATGTTACAGATCAACAACACTTCGCCCAGATTAGGTTTTTGAAGCTTAATCAGAATGATCAGTTTTTTAGTTACAAACGAGAATAAAGTTACGCTTTTCTCTTTTTGTTTGTGAAAATGTAATAAAATTAATTTTTTTTTTATTAATTAGATTAATGAATAATCCACAACACACAGTTTACTGAAGAAGTCAAACATTTTGGAATAATGGCTTTTTGAAATTGATTACATTGTTATATTTGCATTAGATGCCATTAAACTTTGTATTTTTGCTGTTTTTCTGCTTTCTCTTCGTTGCTGTTTGTAATAATTACAAATGTTTATGCCATTTTTACAAGGTCATGGTCTTCAAACTAACATTTAAGGAAATGTAATTAATTTTGACAGTGCTTGATGAATAAAGAGCATGGAAGTTTCCATGTTTGTTAACATAATATCTATTCCTAATTTCGACACATGTAAATGAAGTTTAACCCTAACATACAGTATCCGTTTACCATTTTAAATGCTATTGTAGTTTAGAGTTATGTTTGCAATTAAAAATTCTAAAGAGAATAATCTACTTGCCTATGATCGGATGTCGGACCTGTATTTATACCAAAAGAAAATAAATTCAAAACGTGTTCTTAATTTTGCTAAATATTAAAATGAAGTGAACAAACATTTCAGCTGATTTTTATTTTAAACATCCGACTTTCACAGTGTGATTATTCGTCACGACATTAGTGCCAACAACTGCTAATTTATCTCTTACAAACTGTGGAATGCTAAGAATAGCTCTAAACATAGTTAAATGTTTTTATTGATTTTGGACTGTGTATTGAGGGTGATATTTTTATTTTCAGTGATGATGTAAGCGATTTGACAAAACCAATGCGACCTGGTCCTTTCGCAGATCCTAAACCTAAAAAACCAATCGAGCCAGAGTTACCTGGAGTCACCAGATTACTTGCAATGGGAAAATATAAACAACGTTCCATGTCTAAACCTATAACAGATATTGAATCTTCAGACAGTATGAAAATTACAGATGAATCTATAATTAATAAGAAAGAAAGTACGCCTTCGAGGGTTTTAATGACGTCATCAACAACGTCACGGATTTCAACTATTAGTAATTTAAAATCAGTGGATGAAGAGTATTGGATGAAGGAATTGGTAAGTGTACTAATGAATATTCATGATTTCCAAATGTTTTATTTCTGTTCAATGTGAAAAAGACGATAGTTAAGTTTGTATAAGCAACAGATGTTTAATATCATTCATGTTGAAAATATTAGAGAAAGTAATTTTTTAAATATGGTGGTGATGTGAGGTCAACGTCTGCGAAAATTATTTTGCCGTAGGATGTTTTGTGGGAAATTTTTACTTTGGCGGCTACTCCATATGTTTAAGTTAGTTATTTTTATCAGCGTTGGCAGCTATGCATATATGAGTCATACTTCTATCAAGCTCTTAAAACTTGTGTTTTATAAAACACGTAATCCAACATTTCAACAACAATTTTGCATTCATTGAATAGAAAATTCTTAAAAGAAAATTTCAGGGGTTTGAAATCCAGAATAGTCGTAAAATATATTTTTCAATAATTTTACCTAATTTTTGTCATGGTGTGATTTACAGTTTACATTTTTTGTTATATCAAAGTTTTTTTGTGAAATAAGGTGTTAAAATAACTTTTGAGTTGTAATAGTTTAGTTAGAATATCGGGGAAGTGATAAGAAGCCATTTTAAATTACTATTTTAGGATAATTTTGCTTTACAGTTGTGAACCCATACATTTAAAAAAAATAGGTTAAAACATTTGTTGTTTTTGATTGGAGTACCCCTTTTCAAGTGAGATTACAGATACGGTCTGGAATATGTATATACATGTAATTTTTTTTTCAAGGTATAATTCATTTGCCAATACAAAATATGGGACAAAATACATAATAATATAAAGTCGATAAGTTAAAGTTATTTTTCTCAACCACATTAAAAGTTATGTCGATATCATATTTTTATGTTTATTTATTATTATGTTGACACCGATGTTTCTTGGGTCCATTTTTATATATTTTGTTATTAATTTAACCATTTGATTTTGTTGTTACATTTTATTATTACTATATTTTTTCGTCCCGTGCAATAACAAGGCACTGGAGGACGATGTTAAATATTTCTATTTAACAGCGATTATGTTTTGGAAGTTTCACTTATTTTAGTGGAAAGTAGACATATACTAGAATATTCGTTTAAAGATACTGCCATATTTTTTTCACCGACGTGTATTAAAATATTTATTATTTCTATTTTATTTTAACGTTGAAAACACTTCTTACTTTAATCTAATTTAAAGTACGAGGACAAAAGGTTATAATTTTGGCGCCATAACTCCTTATCGTAATATATTTGGTGATTATGTTATATTGTTTACGAGAATGATGATAAATATCTGATGTTTTGTTTGTTAGGTTTTAACTTATCTGTATAATAAAACTTGTTGAGAATTTTTTTCCCATAGTGGTGTATATCGAAACATGTACCTCTGCATTGTATTTAAAACTGTAGATTAGTTTTAAAAGAAACTGCAAAGAAGAAATTTTTAAGGATGACTGTATAAATCATTTAAAATTACTTTGAAGATACGTGATATAAAAATATGAGTACTGAAATTTATACATTTATAAATGAAAGAAAAGACCAAATAATGTTGTTTATTAGTATGTAGACATTGAGATATATAGAACAAGGAGAACTATTTTTTAGTAAAATAAGAATCAATTAAAAATTTGTTTTTTTCAAAAACTTATTTATTTGTAAATGTCATACTTTCTTATGATTTGTGTCAATTACAAATTTATTGAACAAATAATTTTCGACACCATGGAAGTTTTTCAAATTTTGAATGTGTTTTTAAGATTATCGTGTAGATTGTGGACTTGTAGAGGATAGAGAAAAATTTGTTAATTCGTCTTCGCGAAAAAAATGAGGACGTCATCTCAAAGTGTGGTTAAGTAAATGTAATTTGACACGAGCAAGGTGACATGTGTTCCATTCTTTTGTGGAGTAATAATTTACTACAATTTTTTTGCTTAAAAGTTGTTTTTAAAAAATAACGTGGATGTCATGGGCTTCTTACAAATTTTGATGATCTAATATTAATTTAGGAATTACGGAACATTAAAATCTATACATATATTTGTAAATCCTTTCCACAAAATAGATGATATCCTTGATAAAAAAGTTAACAAATTTCAAGGAAAGATAACGCTTTGAGATTACTTAGGATTACTTACTTGCAAAGGATTTCACAAAAATTAATGTAGCAATCTATTAATTTGATTATTTCAAAAAAAATGTTGATTTTATTTCCTTTAAATTTTTACTGAAAAATATACCCAGACATATAATATTGGTTTTTATATTAAATGTATTTTTATGCGTAACAAGAAGCAGATATTTCCTGTTCCTGACAATATATTTATTTAAATCCAATTATGTTTTCATGTCAATTCGATTTTCAGAGTGCACCATTCGCCACTCGAGGTCCTATGGGAGAACTTATGCAGTTCTACAAGCAGTGCAAAAAGTCGCCACCATTACAGTCTCCTCAAAAGAATCCCACACCAGAAGAAATAACAAAAATGATAGAAATGTACGAATCGCAGCTGCCTGAGTATGATGCTTTAGTGCAGTCATTTTGTGAATCACCAGATAATAATTGAAGAAGTAAGATATTGAGTATATATTTTTGTTTTGTGAAATGAGTGTTATATTTATTTTTTCATCTTGTCGCAAATTTAATTTCATTGAGTTGTAGCAATCTTCATGTAATGTAAAGCGTTTCCTTTGCAAAAGACTGATACGAATATAAGAAGCGAGTGTAAAAAAGTTGTACATAGTGAAAATTAAATTACTTAAAAAGAAAAATTAAACTAAATTGTTGATCCAAGTTTATTTTTAAAATTTGTATATAATTCATATTTATATTTGAATATTGAGATTTTATGCTGTTGTATTTATCTCATTAATTTGCAGGATCTTGCTAGTATACACGTAATACTGCAAACTCACAAGTACCTAATTTGCAACATTTTTAAACTACTGCGTTTAGTGTAACATGGTTCTTAATTTCTGTTTTATTTTATACTTCTTGTACTAAGCGCGAAAGTGCAATAATGTATCAAATACGTCTATTTCTTCGTTTTAAGTTTATGAAAATTTATTAAGCTTTTTTAGTAGTAATTTTAACAATTTAATTGTTTATTTCGTATTTACTACTATTGTTGTGTTAAAAGAATCTTAGTAATTGCAGCTATATGCTAAAGATAGTCTTCATTAAAAAGTGCAAATTGAAGAATATACACTCTTTTAAATAAAATGTATTAATTTGCTGGTTTATTATTTTCGCGTTAAAATTCAAAGTCACTGCATAATACAATGTTTTCTTTTAAGCGTCATGTGAATGCCTACGTAATTGAATTGCTGCGTTTTAGTGGCAAATAAAAATCAGTTACATTGTGCTGATCTTTTACACGTAGCATGTCACATAAGTTTGGGTACTTCTGAGTTATTTTACAAAATTGTTTCTGTTGTGTAATATTATGTTTAATATTACAGTGAAAATATTTTAACAATTGATGTACACTGTATTTTGATTTTGCTCAATATTTAATTTATGTATTATGTTTTAAGTGTATTATGTTATTTTTATGTTGTTTTTTTAATGTTACAAAATTTTGCGAAAAATGTCAATAAAATCATTTTCTGATTTCAAATACATACATACATAATTATACATTAGTTTTTTCTTTATTTAAAACAGGAGATGGTAAAGTTATATTACTATAAGATAATCTGACCCGAAAAAAAATTTGGTCATATTTATTAATAAATGTTTTTCAAAAATTTGGAAAAAATATTACCACCTTACAATTCAAACGCCATTTTTTCTAGGCACCCGCTAGTATTTTGATATTAAAATCACCAACTTAGACTTGAAGAAGATGCAGACATCTAGACAATTGTGAGTCCTCTGTCTGTAAAATGGTAAATAAACCATTTGAGTACACTGTAGTTTGTATAGCAATAGTTATAATGTTGTATACAGGTGTGTCAGAAATAAGTATATTAATTTTAACCAGTAATGGAACTCGTGAAACGGAACAATTTTTTTAAATATCATTTTTTCAAAAACTCAAGTCGAATTTACAATTTTCCGACCCATATATTGACGAGCTGGCTATGTTCGCCTTTAATAACTAGAGCTGTGCGGTCGAAATTTATTTACCCCCACTATCGACCCACAGTGCCGATCGCTACAGCCTTGCCTTGGTCGCTTCTCGCTTTCCAGTTGTGGATTATTTTTGAGAATTCACACAAATAGTTTTATTGTGAACGAGACGGACACCTGAACATTATTAAAATTATTATTACTCTTATTTCGTGAATATGGATTTTAAAATCATCAACTGACATGCCGTTAACATTATTTTTCGCGGAATTTTCTTCGCGATACGTAACGTCGGCGCAAGCCTATGGCCTGCCGGAGTAGGGGTCAATTCGCAGCGTTTAAATTTCGACCGCATAGCTCTAATAATAACACTATAATTATAAAAAAGGTGTCAATCATTTTTATGCTGAGTGTATGTTATGAAACGTCCTCTCTTTAAAGCTTCTTCGGCTCAATTTTTAACTTAACTAAAACGTTCCTGATTCAAAACCCTATTTAAAAAAGTTGTTAATTTTGATGAGCTCTACAACTGCTTCAAATTAAGGCATTTATTTCTGGGACAGCTGTATAAATATATTGATCATGGATTGTACAGAAAATTATCTTGTTTGGGAGGCATTCATAGTCCAAATATCTACAATAGTTTGAAAAATGATCTTTGAAATGTTGTTTATCGAAAAGTTTTTTTCATACTTTGTGGTAATTTACGGAACATGAATTTGGTAAGTATTAGGTAAACTTAGAATCTGTTCATAAAGTAACACATATTGATACTAAAAAAGTGAACTTTATTAACAATTATCGTAAATAAGATAAAACAGTTGTGGCGGCACAATAACACGTCGGTAAACACAGAAAGATAAGTGGCGTTGTGGTCTAGTGGTTCGAATCTCCCACTGAGGCACAACATTTTTCTCTGCTTGGTGAACTAATATTTGTCCTGAAAATGTTTTGGTGTCATTTTAAATTATTAAAATTTCATCGTAAGTGTGATTGCCAATGTATCTTTTTTTGAAAACTGTGTAGAGGTTGTCACAAAAATAGCATGTTCGTTGGGCCATCAGATTTGCACTTTACGACAGGCATTGTAAGTCTTCAAAATATAAATAAGTTTCGAGAATTATAACTTTCCAGAGTAGTTATCCTAGATCAGGACCCACACAGTGTTGTGTACGTTATGGCGAATCCGTAAAAGCACGGGTAACTGGGAACTACCATATTCCCCAACAGTCAGTGCGAATGATTGTTAGTTGTAGAAACAGATGGTGGTCCTGAGAAGGGCCGATTTTTGGTAATGCTTTATGGTGATCCACTTTTTATTTTGACGGATGTTTGGCCCTTACCACAACGATTCCACAGTGTTTATTACAACAAAAATAAGGGTAACTTAGATTGCTACTACCTTTCTACAGACACTACAGAGAGATCAAAAATGATTGCGACTGAGAGAGTTGGTATCACATTGGTTACCTACTGTTTTTTTTTAAGTTGTCAACCTGATGACAAGGTTATGATAACACCAGTGGCGTGGCTGGTAAACGGGACGGGTATCCAACGGAAGAACAACATTATGCAACTAATTATACACAACTAAGAATGTCTTACTAAGTTTATTTCAAAATATCATAGAAAATTCATATTTATGATATAAGCTTGCAAGTCGTCTAAACTATGAGGTCTATTGCGAAATAGTATATTGTTCAACGAGTGAGAAAATGGGTCATTTCACGAGGATGAGAGTTTCCGGAACGAGCCAAAGGCGAGCGACACCATAAAGTATTACCATGTCGACACTCTCTGAATTGGAAAATCACGATTGTCAACCATGTTAACTGAACACAGGTAGGCAACCAACTGATACATGATTGGCCCTTACTGTGTTTTTGCACGTTGCTTATCAGTGCGCCGCTTTTTTGGTTCTTAATGCTAGTCGTCCTGCGCCATTCATTGAATAGTAGTCATGGTAGGTCAAGAAACATTACCAGTGGCGGGTATAACAATTTATATTATAGACATTGCTACCACTTAGGAACGTGGACTTTACACAGTTACATCTTAGTGCGAGCTATTTTCCATTTTTTTATTGCACACATTTCGAAATCACCTGTATTTTTGAACTTGAGCCGTTTGGTTTAATAATTTTTTTTTGTGGTTTATTTAGCAGTATCGTTTTGCAAAATGGACTTTTTAACTGTATTATACAGAAATTTGAATAATTCAGCTGTGCATAGAAGCTTAGCATTATGATTTTTGGGTACGACTCTATTAAGAATGAATCGAGGATTCAGGTTCCCTTGAATTTTGATGATATCGCTGAGCTTATGCAAAATATCTCTAAAGCCTCAGATCCATTAGAATAATTATGTTCGATGATTTACCTGATGCATTATAATCCTATTAGACGGATTTCAAATCTGCGGACAAAATCGCATCGGTAGGAGAGGTGGTGGTATCTGTATATTATGTATGTTGCTGATCACATTCTATCCCAGTCTTCTGTAAGTGTAGTTACTCGTAACTATAACACTGGAGATATTGGCCCGGTCAGCAATCATCAACTCTAGACCTAATTACACAGTCGAACAATTTTAGAAAATTTTCTTGTTACAAGCATTCTGAAAATGTATTCTAAAAGGTTATTTTGTGCTGAATAACTATCTATCTAATAAGACATTATACCTACGTCGTCAAAAAAATTTTTTTTTTGGAGATTGTTCATAGATAGTTCCAGTTAAAGGTGTACTATTGCATAATCGGAATAAATATCTAGTATTGCCGACTGCATACTCCATACAAACTGCAGAAACATATGAGAATATTCAACACTTGTTAAACTGTATTAACGACAAAAAGTTTGAGTGGAATTTGATAGGCGATTTAAAAATTGTAGCTTTAGTAACTGGCTTCCAATGTGGATGTACCAAGCATATGTGCTTCTTATGCAAGTGAAATACAGTGCTGCTAGCGTATCAGTTCTTAAACGCCACGGTGCGCACAGTGGGACGAAATAAAAAATATGTGACCAAAATTCTGGATCAGCCTCAATTAGTTAAACAACGCTATAATTTCGATTAAAGTTCACTGATTTTGTCTTAAAATATCGTTTTGAAGCCGATGATTGCCGGAAGCAATGCCCTGTGAACTCCCCGGGAAAGAGGCAATTACACTGGTCATTTTTCCAAACGTATTGTTATGAAATAAACTCATAAGCCGACCTGGTACGACGCTATGGGTTTTCTCGAGGGCTTTATAGTATGTACGGCGATGATGGGTGACTCATCATCGGTGACGGTGGCCTGGCGGGGTTCACATAATGAACAGTCTGGAGCAGGTTGCCGGAAGTTTCGATGGTGGGCCTCAGAACAACTTCGAAGCGGCGTCAGGAAACATCCAGAGAAACGGATGATTGTTTAAATAAAGGCCACCGATTCAGTCAGTCAACGAGTAGCGTCCAGTCAATGTTGACAGAATCCAGTTAAGTTGCGCCGGAATTATTTTGTAGATAATCGAAATAAATTGTTGAGTTTTCCCCCCGCCGATTTTTAAATACATAATCAACGTAACAGTATTAATACCCAAACTCTGCTTTATATATTTTCCATTTCTGTATCCCAGAAAAAAGCGAGTGTGTTTTGAATTTTTCGGTTGTAGTGCAAAATACCCACGAATGAATTCAATCATATTTATTCCTTTAATATCAACACTTGTAACAAAAAAATCTTTCGGGGTTTTTGTTTTAGTGGTTGGTATCACAATATGAACAACACTCCCTCATCATGTACGCTTAGATTTGTTAATTCCTCCCTCCTGTAGACCCCTACCAGTCGAATAATCAACGCAGCTTTAATCATTAAAAATTGTTGATCATCTGCTTCCAGCAAAAATTTTGTTTTCTCTACTTTTCTTAAAATCTTAGATTTTTTTGGACGAAATCCCTCCGAACTTCACTTTAAAAAATCAATCAAATGCGTGTATTTATTTATCTCAGTATTATGCTTCAACGAAATAAGGAATCTTAACATTGAATAATATACCTACCTACAACGAGGTTTCTGGTGTTTCGAAACGTTTCCAAAATACGCAAGGAGTAGCTTTTTGTGGTATGAACTCTTAATTCCTTTAGTTATGCACCACTCTTCAAGCTTTGCGTAGTTTTCCTCGTAACACCTCTTTGATTGGAAGAAGCGAAGCCATCACGTTTTTTGCTGCCTCTTCCACATCCGATGGAAGACTATCAATGTCGGAATCACTCACACTACCCATTATCTGCGTCTTTCTTGAAAATTGTTCCAGGTTTGTTCAAAACTTGGTTTTCTGGATGATCTGTGAAATTATTTGAAAATAAAAATACGCGCGTTACATAAAAAAATCTCAAAGTTAAATTTGAGAATTTTTCAAAGCTGTATTTGTCCGACGGTACTACTTTAGGGGCGAGGGAATTTGTGTTGAAATATATAATTAAAATATGAAGTGGCTGAGATAAATTAGTTACGCCAAAATCCACTTGCGAGTCAACACACTTTAATTATTATTATTGATGTCCAAGACATTATTTAGATTTAGGATTATTGGTGTCAAGGTAGAGTATGTAAGACTTATCTGTGTTGACAAGGTGTTGCACCCACTTCTATGTGGTTCTGATGTCAACATTTTATAATATCGCTGTTGATGTTAGTGCTACACCCTTTCAAATCGACTGCGATAATGTGAATGGATTATGAAGAACTTGGACAAGATCGGCTGTATAAATAACATAAAGAAGAGGTCCCGGAACGAATCCTTGCCAAATTCTGCTAAAGACGTTCGCGTCTTGTCAAAAGCTTTGTAAAACCGAAATAAACAACATTGACGAAGTTCAGTAGAAACTGCATTACTTTTAGTTACGATTGTTTATAATGCATTCCAACACTTTTCCAACGATGGACTAATCGGATGGCGATTTCCAGCAAGTTTATTGGCTTTTTGAAAAATGGGCACTATTTAGAGATTGTTGCATAAGCAAACTCAAGGCACAGTATAGATATCAATCAGTAGAGACCACTCGCTATTTTTACTGACCCGTTTTCATGGGTGGTCGTTTGCCTTGTGACCGTATGAGGGCGTGGAACGCAAGGTACTTCTCTTTCTTACACATTGGGACATTGAACTGCGGTACTTTGGTTATCTAGTGACTTTAATGTGAAATATTTGAAATTTGGCAGTTTAGTTGCATTGGTTTTAAGGCTGTTCTTCCGGTGTAATTATTATTGCACTTTAAGTGTAATTTTAACAGAGACATTTTAAAAAGCGTTGTTCACGTTTTCATAGGACCATTGTTTACTGTTTAATTTTTTTGTAAAAAAAATAAATGTACATATATTAGCGTTTTCTAATAACGTTGAATTTTACAACCATTTACAGCCATCATGAAAAAGAAATTAATGAAATGTAAAATCGTAATCAGAGAAGCGGGTCACATCTAAATTTCAACACGGCATCTCTGTTATAGGGCGCTTAATTAATTATTTATTATAATAGACTAAGATCAACTAGTTACACAATGTTATTGTTATTACACTATTTTTAAGTCATTTCCAAAAATTCATTTGCACAAAGTGTAGTAAATTGTGTACACCAATCAATTTTAAAATGAAGCGTTTGTGATCCTTTTTAAATTGGGTGGCGACATCTAGAAATATTATGGGCAACGACCACCGACGACGGCTTAAAACTCGGGTCAGAAAGATCAAAGGCGCCGACACGAGTTGTCCATACTGATTGATCTCTATACTGTGCTCAATAGATATATAGATAGAATAAAAAAATAGTCTTTCAAAATAGCAGCACAGCTACATATTGGATTTCTTCCTGAATGAAATCAACATTTGATAGATGCATTCGGAGTTGTGAGATCTTAAACACAACTTAATGGTCCTACCTAGTATAAATTCGCAAAAGTGCCATCGAAAATTTTCGTAATGTTTCCATTTTCTTTTATCAAAATACCATAACTACGGGGATGAGGCTTTTTAACAGATCCGTCAAACATATCGCGGATACAAGGACAATATTTTTATCGTCAGGAAGCTGAATTTCATAGATTACTTCGGTCTATCCATGTTTTTTAATCGAAATAGTGAATGTCCTTGAGACATAATGTAATAGTGACATCTCATGTAAGTGTGATTTGAAAACTTCCCATTTTTACTTCCCGAGCGTAAGCAAAGGAAGTATTGTAATCGAGTCCGTCGGCCGACTCTCTACTTTTACGTTTTCTCGATCTTTCATGACCCCTAGAATACGAAGAAATAGGTCTCCCATTTCCGTCTGTCTGTCCGTCTGTCCGTCCGTCTGTCCGTCTGTCCGTCTGTCTGCCGTCCCGGATTTTTCTTTCTCAGTATCGTGCACGAACAACGTCTCTCCGTCAGTTTCAACCCAATGATTTCTTAACAAACGGCAATTAGTGATCGATTTCATCAAATTTCTTATGCTGCATTGGGCGTAAAGGTTGACTTGTGTGTTTGCAAAAATCGTGATTTGATTTTTCAATCAAACTAGTAAATTTTGAACCGGAGATCAGATCGGGATTGGAAGAAATAATTTGAAATGGAACGTTGTTCTATAGCTAGTTGGTTCAGAAACCAATTGAAACAAGTAAGAATCCCTCAACAAATCCGACAGAAACTGAGATGAAGTCTAAGGATACTAACGATGATAAATGCTATCTTAAGTCCCGCATATTAAAGTCACCGAAAAGGAATCAGGTAACTCAAGACTAAGCCACGTTTCACTAACTAAAACAAATGAAGGCTTATTGACTTGAACAGAAGCTGCGAATTCATTAAACTTTGAATATAAGGAAGCAATGTTGCAGTACAAAAGAAGCAGAGGGTACAATACCTTCCGTGAATTTGGAAAGATTAATAAGTTTTTGTATCGTTACACCAGTAAATTGCAACTTTTGTATAGAACATAATCCTTTTTAAGTTTCCTTTGCACCTTTAAACAAGGATTTCGTACATTTGAGTGATAAGGTAATGAAAAGATCTAATGTAATGTAATCTAATGTGTGTAATTAATATTTAGAAGGTCGATTATTTCTTCTATGTATTTGCAGGCAATGATTAAAAATCCGATTCATCTACGTTTTATAAATTTAATCAAATCGGAAAATTCCAGGACAAAAAGAGGGTCAGCTATTTTACATTACATAAACTATTAAGCATTGATTCCAAGTGTCTGTCAGGCTTTCGGTGGAAACCCATGGTCCAGTCCTTTTAAGGACTTCATTAAAAGTTTTCAATGCTAAAAGTAGTTAGATAGTTTGCTTACAAAGAAATGTGGGAAGAGATAAGGGTAAATTATAAGAAGACAGCGGAAGAAAGAAGAGAATTTTACGAAGTAAGAGGTCTAACGGCAGAAGAAGTAGAGAGAAAAAGGATAGAGGGAGCAGAGCCCAGGAAGGAAATTTTAAATCTAGATGAAGAGTTACAAAGAAAAGAGCAAAGGAAAAAAATAGCAGAGTCCAGATATAATCCAAAATATGGAGAAATAATAGGAGGTCTAAAATTACCGGAGTATCTAATAAGAGGGAGAAAGAATGAAGACATAAAGACAATAGCCAGATTTAGGGTGGGAAATGAAGAAGGAGAAAACTGTTACTGGAAAGAGGAAGAGGAGAGAAGATGCGGATTATGCAGGGAATTTCCGGAGACGATTGAACACTGGCTAAAGGATTGTGAAGAGTTACGGGAAGTCGAGAAAGATAGGAATGAGCTATTGAACGAAACAGGTGATGGTCTGGAATGGATGAAAATGATATTAGAAAAGAAACGAAAATAAGGAAGCATTTCGAGAAAGAATATTAGTTTAAGTTAAAATATGTTTAATTGATATATATTTGTACATATATAGATATATTAAGGGAAAAATGTAAACCGGACTTCTTTCAAGTCCCGAATGGGAAAGAAATAAACAGTTACATACATACATAGTTTGCTTACAAATCGATCCCCGCAAGTGCTAGCTTTTGTTTTTAGGTGTCCCATGAAAACGTTTAATTTTTTTTTTTTTGAGGTAGATTTGTTCAAAATGGTGGGGTTGAGACCAGAAGTAAAAAATATACGGCAATTTGTGTCATCAAATTATTAACTAATTCTTAAAGTTATTTCTTGTTTATATAACGTTTCTTTTAGTACACATAGATATAGAATGCTCTTGCAAATATTTTTTGCTTAGAAGTATGAGTTTTAAATGCTTGGTAGTTTGAAATTTTAAAAGTAATAACATTTTTGGTAGATCTGATTTTTTACATTATGTATATTAAATTATACCTATTATATCCTCTAAATCATGTCTTTGTCTTAGGTTTCATTAGCTTTACAGATTCTTTCACAGTTGTTAAACATTGCACTGGTACTGAAACATTTAGGTACTTACCAGATATGAAATCTTTGCTGCTGCAGTCGCAGAAAAACGTGTGCACGAGGAATATAACAAAGGTAATTTCTCCAGTAACACAAATAATACAAAATACATATTTGTCAATTTGTGTATAAGACCCCCCCCCCCCGTTCATTCTCATATGAAAGTTTATATTAAAATGTTTAACACAATGTGAAAATGAAAAACTTCAAGCTAAATCGTATACTTTTAGTTTGATATGTTCACCAAAAAAAAAAAATACTTATATATTTGGGAAAAAATAATTGGTACAAAATTACTGAGAAATTATTGTTTATTGTTGTTGAGTCGCTAAAATAAATATATACATAACAATATCAAAGAATGTGCAATAGCTTCTAAATATGACTTTGTACTACAGAGTGATCAAACTATTTAAAATTATCTAGATTTGTTACATTTTGTTAAATTCTTTAGAGCTATTCTTTGGTGCACAAACAGAAGTCTAAAATCCGTATGGCAAACAATACTTCACCAATATGTAATCCCTTTGTGAAATCACCTAAAATAAAAGAAACATTGTAAACTCCAAACGCCAGTCATTTATTAGTTTGCTAAAAAGAATACAAAACAATATAAAGTACTTTAAATAGTACTGTCTAATTTAAGCAAAATCTTCAATATGAAGATGGAACTATTTTATTATATGCATATCTATCTTAAAAGAAAACAGATATGTAGTGATCAAAGATGTTAATATACAGTAGTTTAAGCAATTGCAACCAGATGACGTAGGTAATAGCAACTTTTTCACACAGTCAATTAATTGTTTTGTGACGTATAAGTAATACATTGTATTTTGTACTAAGTTTGTATAAATAAATAATTAACATACAACATAGATACAACCTTTTTATTAATTACATTGCGTTACAATGGTAAAACTCTCTTTTGGATATAAAAGTGTTGTGGCAATATTTAGAAAACAAATAATATATTAGAACAATAAAATATATTCATGTTTGAAAAACACCCTAACGGCAGGAAAATACTTTGATCACCCTGTATAATTAAAATTATAATACTTAAGTGTTAATATCAGTCCGTTGGGGAATAGTCCTTATTCTGATGATTCAAGAATAAACAAATTTGTTTAAATGTAGGTCTTTCGGTGTCATCTCTTTTCCAACATTGACACATCAGTTCATAAATCTCTGTTGAGCAAATTGGAGGTTTGCATAAAAGAACCTGAAATTAAAATTACGTTTATTTTAAAAATAGGCTTTATTGAAGATTATACTTACTTGTAGTTCGCCCCCATAGTACATGTGTTCGGCATTTTGAATAACTTTTTCATTAGATAATTTATTAAAAGGTCGTTCACATGCAAAACTGAGAATCTCCCATAATGTGACGGCAAAAGCCCATACACTACTTGAGCACGAATATCGATCCTACAACAGTGGAAATTATTAAAAATACCATTAATAAATTATTTTAATGCATACAAGAAGAATGCTCTCCCACGGTAGCCAACGTATAGGAGCAGGTGGTCGACCTCCAATTTCAGCGTAATCTTTCCTATATTGAGCTTTACACATAGCTACATCCGCTATTTTCACTATATATCTTCTTCCGACGAGGCAATTTCTAAGTGAATAAAATAATAAATAAGAAATACTTCCCCTGGATGTAATAATACACATCATTTACCTAGCGGCCAAGTCTTTGTGAACTACGTGTTTATTCTCTAGGTATTTCATCCCGGAAGCTATTTGGGTTGCCATGTAAATGAGATTATCCACACTGAAAGTACGAAAGTATTAAAATTTTCAAAAATTACATTACAGTAACAAAAAGTAATATTTATTACAAGTGCCGAAATAAGTGATGTTATGTTCCTTTTATCAAAAGAGGTTCTCACTTTAAAATCTTGATCTATATTTTGTCACCGGAGGCCTTTTTGCTCTATACACTTAATAAATTTAATGAAGCTTTATTTATAAATAATAGAATGACATATTTTGAAATGTTATAACTCAATTTTACGCCTTGCTAAATGTTTTCAGTGGTACTTACTTACACTCTGAGGCAAATCGTCGTTTTTAAATTTGAAGTGATAAGATTTTTGTTTTTACTTCCTGAGCGTAAGCCAGGGAAGTATAGTAATCGGGTACATCGGACGAATGGCTATTTTTATGTTTTCTCAACGTTTCATGAGTGTGCTGTAGCTGCTTAGGTTGCGGTGCTAGCAGGTGACTAATTTCTGCTTTCCAAGCATTCGAATACGATTTGCACTGGTGAGTTCGAATCTCATTCTCATCTTCGTTACATCTTTTTTTTTTTAAATCAAATCAACAACAGTTCACTTCGCAAATTAAAACCACTTACGATTTAGTTCTATTATTTTTGCAAATATTGGGATAATAATTATATTGATCATGTGGTATAAAATCTAGGGCCGACGAAAAGATTTTGTATATCACACATACGGTAGGTGAGCTTGTCTATAATTTGTCCTGGAACTTGTTCGTTTAGTAAAATCACTTACAGGACTGGTGATATAAATAACTTTGTTTAAAGGTGCTGTAACGAAAGGTAAGAACACAATACAAGAATACATTCGTACAGATATGGACATTTCAGAATGAAGCAGTTACACTCCTATTGCTCATCTTTTTAATGCGCGGTTATTACGTTTTGCAGGTCTCAGATTGTTCTTCTTTCTCATTTTAAATGCATCTTAATTTTTGTTTATGTTGTCTCAATCTCTGTGGTTTAATTTCCGAAATTTGTTAGTTACAGCACTAACAATGAGTTAAAAAAGTATAAAATTTTCAAATGTCTAAGAGAAGCAAAAGGAAGCAAATTTAAGTAAAATCGATAGTATCCCTCGTTACATGAATAATTTCTGCACTGGTGACAAGACCCAATTAAAAGTGGATAGATACATTATAGGGTATCTTACAATTAGGTCAGCAAAGGCTTGTTTTATAATGAATTCACAAGATATTTCTGTGACATTTAAAACAGTCCGCTAAAAACCGTGGTGCGAAGTTATATAGTACGTCCGCAAGGTCTGGAATAAAGTTAGGTTTTACATGGGTTGTAGTCTAATAGAAAAAAGCTACATCTATTTGTCTTGTATTTTTACTTCCTGGGCGCAAGCGAAAGAAGTATTGTAATAGGGTCCATCTGACGAATCGCTGATTTCAGGTTTTCTCGACGTCTTATGACCTCTGGACTCTGGAGTACGAAAAAGTCTCCCGTTTCCGTCTGTCTGCCGTTTGTCTGTCTGTTAATTTTTTGTCTAATGACAGATAATCTCCGAAACTAATGGATCTAATGTTGTAAAATTTTATACGTTTATTAGGACTATCGTGCAGACGGTAAAACGTTAACCAAAATTGCCTAAGCATCCTCACCAACAATGGGATGACGTCATCTTCAAAATTGGCAATAGTAACTATTATTTAAATTTTATAAAACAATCTACTCTTTTACTTGTGGTTTATGAATCCGAGTTGAGTTTCCACCCTAGACATACAGATTTTTGGAAAAAAATCAAAATTGTACAACATTTTACAATTTAGTTTTGAAATTATAAAATCGAATGGTATAAATCTTAGGCATAGGAAATAGTTAATCAAAAATTATCACTTTAAATCTCACAGTAATGTCGCTAAATCTTACAACGTAAAATATTTTTTGCAAAGAGAGTTTCGAAAACAAACGACGTACACATACGACAGCTTAGCTAATGAAGCACATTTTTTTTACACATTATCAAATTGTAAAATTTTTACTCCTTTTGTTAGTGCCATTCGTTACACACAGAGAGATGTGATCGCTTGTGCAAGGGTGATGTCGGCGTTTTGATGTTTGTTGATCACGGACCCTAGCATTACTCAACGCTTTGTTTATAAAGAAATAAATAAACATGAAACTGTCTACCTACCCAAAATGAACTGAATAAAGTACGAATGTAAAATAGAGTATCTGGACAAGAAGTCGAATGGCGAACGATTTTTTTTATAAATAATTCATTTGGAGCTCGGTTTCGCAGAGGGATACAAGCATAATAAATCAGGATTGTGTGACGTCCGTAAATGTTTTGCAGTAACACTATTTTTTTATGTTGATTTTACGTTATATAATTACTTGTTATTACAGGGTAGAAATTTGGTTTGACATGTCGTAATATAGTCTACAAGTTACGATTTGGTTCAAACGTTCTGAATCAACTGAGAAGAATTTGTCGAAATAAGTATTCAGTCTAGAAAAATAAAAATAAAATATGGGTAAAATCTAAATGTAAAACTGTCTAAAACAATCGTCGCCGTTTTCGATGGCATTTATAAACTTTAGTTTTCAATGTTTTAAAGTATTCGAAATGAAAGCGGAATGACACGGCATTCTTCACGATACGGGGTTTAAAATTCGTAACATTTCATTTTCAGCATTTATGAGTTGCACTGCAGCAGTGTAAACTTTTTATTTATTAATGGATATGGTGAAATCAGACTTTTAAAATCACAATTTCCGACTAATTTAAATCAATAAAAGTGACAAGTTAATATAAATGATATCTCCATCTATCAATACAAAATCTAAAATCGAGATTTTACAGTTTGTATTGTGCATATAAGCTTCAATGTATAAGATAGAGAAACCTCTATTAGCATTATTTTGCCAACCTCTGATTATCAATTCAAATGTTATGTTAGCCATCAGGACGATCTGACCATCTGGTATCAGCAATCACTTACCTTACGGGTTGATCGGTCGAGGACCGAACAGTTCCATTTCTATTGACGAGAAACTGCAGATATTGAGCTAGATCTCCCATTTCACCGTATTCAATGACGGTCCAGGGCGGCTGTTCGGCCGTACAAACTCCCAGAACTTTACAAATATTCGGATCAGATAAGCTGGCTAGAAAGCGGACTTCTCGAAGTGATTCCATTGAACCTGTCGCAGCATCACTTTTCGCTCTTTCCGGACTTGGTGTTCGGACAGCCACTAAACGACATACGCCCGGAATTATGTCTTCTAAACCTTCCGTTTCACAAAGTGTAATCTACAAAATGTTATGACACATTATAGAATTTACTCTGGCCTACAGTTTTATTTTTACGGAGAAGGGAAAAGCAATAAAATGTTTCCTTCCCTCTATTAAATTTATTGTTTTTGTTCTTTCCCTTTGCTACAGATGTATTACATCAATAATGCAAAGCGTTTAAGTAACTATCGTTAATGATACAAGGTGTTTCATTCTATGATAGTGATAAAATAAAGTAGTAAAGTATAATATCTCATTTTATCGCTTTTGTCCAAGTTATGCCTTAAAAAAAATGATTCTATACTTTATCCTGCCACTGAATCTAACACGTCATTTTGAAAAGAACAAAAAAATATGTTTGCATGCAATTGTATAAACAGTAAATTATTGTACCATTTTGGAAACTACGTAGGTACTTAATAGTAAAAATAATCACTAGTCTTTAGGCAGGATAAATATATTTTATATAATAATCATTTTGATGCATACATTTTTTAAATTAAATTTTAGCTTTAAGGCAACAGTATGTATCATTAAAAACAAGTTTTTGAGTATGGTATTATTCAAAGAATACTACGTATATTAAGGAAAAAAGGCAAAATATAAACAATCAATCTTGGGCTTTAATTTTTTCTTAATATATATGTACAATTTTAATAACACGATACTCAAAAACATGTCTTACATGGTAATTTCTCGTAGAAAAATAAGGATTTTACAATTAAGCTCCGCCCCTCGGCTTACGACGAATAAAAAGGAATCATCAGAATTGAGATAGGGCGGGTGGGCGGGGCTTGTATTTAGCCTTTTTTTTCTTAATATACATAGTCACCTTTTCATTTCAAACTTATCACATGGTTAAAATGTATTTTGCAAGGAAATATGGATTTTGAAAACATAGGGCGGAATCTAATTGCAAAATCGATATTTCCTTATACAAATTTTCCATTTTAAACATATTTTAAGTTTCATGTTGGGAAAAGAAGTCTACACATATTAAAACAAAAAGGCAAAATGTAAGCCCTCCCACCCGCCCTATCTCAATTGTGATGATGTTTTTGATTCGCCGTATACCAAGGGGACAGAGCTTAACTACAAAATACTTATTTCTTTACAAGGAATTAAAAACATGTTTTTGAGTATCGTATTGTTCAAAGAATCCTATGTACATTAAGAAAAAAAGGTAGATATATTTATAACAATATGATATTAATTTGCCTGTATTAAAAGAAAAGAAACAAGGTTAAAACTGGACCAGTTGTTCAGAAAAAAAAAAACATTATTTGGAGAGCAGTTCCCTCGCCATTGAAATGTGTTCAATTCTACACGTGTGTTGGAAGTATTCTTACAAGCAGTTGCATTTAGTTAGTTTATATGTAATTCAACCCTATCATAACGTACCTCTGTTTTAAAATTTTACTTGCTTTTGAAATAATAGAAAGGAGTATATGAACACTTTTTGAGAAATGAGACAACAAGAGGCTGTCTGTACGGACGGATGGACGAAAACAGGGAAATGAAACTTTTACATTCCACAAGCTATGAAATTCCAAGAAAATATGAAATTAGATATCCGAATAACTGATCCTAATACAATATTTCCCTCAGCTGCGCTTGGGATGTAAAAATTAAAGATATATAGATACATATATTTTTTTCTTCACTAATTACAACTTAATGATTGCGTAATTAAACAGGCACTAACACTTATTTTAAAACAGAAATCTCAAAATATAAACGTTAACGAATTAGCTTACTTTAGAGACACAAATATGTGATTAAAATCTTCTAAATTTTCAGTTGATCCACTCATTGACAGTAACTCAATCACGGATAAATCCTCATCATACCGAAAAATATTAATTCACTGTCAGGGTAAAGAAAGTCGACCAGGGGACAGGAGTTGTGTTAGACAGTTTGTCGTTATCAAATTTCAAAAATTTCGAAGATATAAAAATTTTCTTTCAGCAACTTGAAACAACTGTAGGTATCTACTTATTAGTCATTTCCTAAAAGTTGTTGGACGATATTTGATTTTTCAAACCTACTGACCATTGACCTTTGAATCGGGATTTAGTAATTGATGTTTCCGTTTAGCCAACATATTTTTGATATATCCTTCACAATTATTCCCCTCGAATTTTCATTTTGTTACTTTGTCTCGGGAATTGGTGAGGAGACTTGGAGGACTAGATCCGTAAGTATAAACTACTTTCATGCCTGATCTGTTGAAAACTTTTCTCGTCACTTAGGTCACTGACGGCTTAAGTACAAGTATGGCCACAATTGTTTTCTTTGTAAGTAAGCAGAAGCACAGAAATCGATTTCCTAAACCTTTTGCATTTATCAAAGACATCGGCGCAAATATTTGACTCAATCGGATTGGAGAATTTTTCAGATATCAACCAATGGAATTATGCTTTCATGGAAATGATTTGCACCGTGCATGTTTTCTGGAAATCATCACCGTTCATGCTTTCCAGAAATATATGGATATTTTTTCAGAACTGGGTGGTCATCCAGTTTATTTCTGTTTGTTTAAAAAAAAAAAAGAAAAATGCAACAAGAGTGGTCGAGTAATCACATTATTGAATTGATAACAAATTTTCCAAAAAACAACTGCGGAATTTAATTGAACCTTTTAGAACTGATCGGAAGAAACTTTTCTTGATAGACGGAGAAGTCAATAATTGTCTTTATCAATACAACCCTATTGATATGGCGGTTTTGTAAATACTACTATCACCAGCACATAATTTTTCAATCTTCATCCAAAAATAAGGTTCGGAATTTATGGTTTGAGGCTTTTTTCAAATACACTCGAGAGATGTAGAAAAGTTTTAGGAAACATTGTACTGAATCTATTTCGACTGAGTGGAAAAAACACATGGGACATTTATCGTTTTAAAACGTAAATATCTCCATTCCTTATTTCATTGGAGGATCCTGATTCAGAATCATAATTTGAAAATGATGACAATGACGGCTCAGGTTAGTAGAAAGAAAAAATGAATGCTGAGTTTGAATAGTAGGAAGAATTAAATTATTAGCAAGGGAAAATAACTAAAATTATTAATATTTAAAAAGTACAAAGGCAAGATTTACTTTTGAATAGTAGATTTACCAGAACACCCATGAAGAAAAAAATGCTTGACTCTTGTGAAAATACACTAAAAAATTATGGATTTTTTTGTCAATTCCTAAAACCTTTAGTTAATAAGAGTCGCCAAATTTTGCTTTATTTAAAATTGAAATTGTGTTCTCCTGTTCGGGCAATGTACAGAATTTTTTGCAACTGAAATACACCTAGCATTAATTTTGCAACAGTATGCCTTCTAATAATACTTATAATAATGATTAGTTATCAGTTATTAATTATTATATTCGTTCTTCATTTAAAAAATAATTTCTAAATTTTGTATAAATATGTATTCAGTAAAGTTGTCAAGTTTTCAATATTAACTAATTAATTAGATAAATAATAATGTTCTTGATGACGTTTAAGTTGGCAATAGTGGTTACGTTTCTGACACAATTCAAACCTTAAATACCCCAAATCGACATAAACAATGTCAGTTTTTCTCAAGAAATTTTAATGGATGTACTTACTAATGTTGATTACCAACCAAGTTACTAGATTTCTATGACGTTCTAAAAAGGTCGTGACTGCATTATATGTAAACAACAAGTATATTGTACTGGTCGATTTTTTAAATTTGTGCTTTAATTAGCCATCACGTTTACGTCAGTAGTTTCAGGGACATGACCAAGTAGAACAGACATTTAAAAATCAGCCGATATACAGGGTGTTTTTTTTTATTTGATGTAACACTTGTAACTTTTGTATGTTTGAACATAGGTCCTTTGTTCTTTGGACAAATTTGTATCGTACTAGAAGATCTTTTTGATGGTAAACATATTATTTAATTTTCACTTTCGGTAACACTGGAAATAACATTAACTTTATATTTTTAATTAGAACACCACGTATATTTTTTAGTAAATGAAACGGTTACATTTTTTACCACGAAAGATCAAAACAACCACTATTTAAATTTTTTTTTGATCGACAAAAGCCAGTATTAAATAAAATACAGTCCACTTCAAACGAGAATTTAATTTTTTAATATTCGGAATGTTTTTTTTTGTAAACGTCCAAAATATGTAGTAGAACCGGCAAAGAATTAATTTTGAATACAACAACAAGTATACAAGTATTTCTCTCGACAAATTTTCAAAAAATAATGTTTTCATTTTGTTCGATATACATTTCCGCACGTCTGTGAATCCCATGTGTGGCATTGTTTTGCTATAAACTATGGGTTTAATGTTGTGAAATCTTTCTTAAGCATTGTTTCAAGAGATCTTTCTCCATTCATCAAAGTAAATATTATTTTTGATGAAACCCCAAAGGAAATAAATCAATGGAATTCAAATCAGGTGATCTTGGAGGTCATCTTATTATCTTACTATTCCCCATCCAACTATAGATTTTAATTAATATATAATAATATCATTTATTGATGGTTCATGGTAACCAATTACAACACAGGAAGATATAATTTAACCAATTTTTGAATTAAACAATTTTTTTTAAGTATTGCGGCAGATGTTCCTACAAAATCCAAATCTTTGCGTAAATAAGTTAGTTTATATAGCCGACAGTGGATAGAATTTAAACCATACGAGGTCCTATGAAATGGAATATTTAAAAGATGGAAAGATCTACCGCAACGATTAGGAACATGTAGATAAAACATTTGAAGAACTGTAGAACAATCAATAACGGATGATAACACTTTATAAATAAACAGATAATTAAAATAGATAGTTTTGATATATTTTACTAAATAATTTTTTAATTATTGTTTTTAGAATATTGGTTCTACTGGATTTTTTGTAGTCTAAAAAGCAAGCTCTCCGTTTATAAAAAATATACCAAACGTTCCATTTCAGAAATGAAATTGGGTCATTACCGGTTCTATCGGAATTGATAATAAGAGGGTCTGCTCACCATCAAACAGATATTTTAAAATGAGACAAATCTGCTCAGAGAACTATAAGTTTATCTTTAAAAACAAAAAAGTTACAGGGGTTGTATCAAATAAAAAAGACACTCTGTATATTCAGGACAACTCCATATTTATAATTAATAGTTATGAATCAGTTTATTTTGACAATCGAATTATTGGCTAACGTTATTTGTGAAAAATAAGTATTTCTTTGATTCTCTGGATTTATTAGTTTTTTATAGTGTCAGTATGTAACAATAACAAAAGTGAAGATAATTATTCATTCTTTATTGTTACCTTATTATTATTTTTTTAAATATTTTAACGCATGTTAATATGTAAATCGTGAGTTTTAATCCCCTAATGTCATAATAATAATTTTATAACGTGGCCTCTTGGTATTTATTTTTCTGTTTTTCTCTGATTTTGACGAATCTGTAAATCTTTTGACATCTTAACCCGTTTTTTGTGAAACCAGCTGTATGTTGTCCTTGAATTGTATATGTATGGAATAATTGGCATTGTTATAAAATACTTCTCTGGTTGTAATATGGCTACTGAGATGTAAAAATACTGAAGGTGTATGCACGTTCAATAATTTATGCTAATCTCGTTCAGTGAATACTAATGACTAATTAGATTTAAGCAGCGGATAAAAAATCAATTTTCTCGTTTAAAGATTTGCAAAAACCTCACTTCTGATTTGATGGAGCAAACAAAATAATTCACTTAATTAAATAAGCAGATAAAGGATCTAATTAGATAAGACGTAATTTATCCAATTTAATGAGTTACCTCTCCAGCGTGACAGGATCCGAGTTTTTCCAGTGGCCTGAGAGAATATCGTGGAATCGGTACTAATTCTGCTTCTCTGCAATTGTAAGCGTGACCCATACTTGGTGCTATGTTCCAGCACACAACTGGTGGTGGTATCTGCAATATTAATTTATTATCTAGACTTTCGTGATTTATGGCATCGTGGAATTATAATCTAACAAGAAACAGGAGCGCTATTTCTATCTTTGGAATAATAATCAAGTATTTCACGCTTCAAATCATCCTAATTACTTTAGTATTCGTGAAGGTAAATTTTATTCTGTGAAGCGTTTATGAAATGCGTATTAATACGAATTTACATCTGAAAATCGATACTTCAGTATAAACAGTATTCGGTTAGCGCAAACTTAACTTATTGCGCTAAACTAATATTTGAAACTGAGAGCATTTTTATTCGACATACGTGATAGAAAAGATTGGTACCTAATTTTGAACTTTGCGGTGTGCGTTTTTGCATTAATTTTAATAATGTGTATGTAATACAGTTATTTAATTTAATTTCGAAGTTATTACTATAGTTTAAAAATGTCGTTTTTATCTCTAAAATGTGTATGCTATTTAATTGTACATATTTTTGAATGGCGTTTTGTGCTTTTATATAAGGAGTTTAGACGATGTGTTGATGTTTTCTTTTTAAATAGAAAATTAGAAAAAAAAATACGTTCTGATTTTGATGGGATAACACATCTTAGATCTTATTTTAACTATCTAAAACTTGTAGACGCCATAGATATATAGATATTATTTTTCAGTATGTTATTTTAAACTTTTTTCAACTCAATTCAGTTAGTATAAAAATTTTTTGAATGCGAATCGATTTTAAGCTGATGCATGATTGCTATGTTAAAAATTGAATTTTTACTGCCGATGTAATGGATGTTTGTAATTTATTCACGAGTGATGTTATTTAATTTTAATTTCCAAAGTTCTAATTTTGCTCATTTGCATAAATTTGTGCTATAATTGTGTGATGTCACGTTGTCCAAATTGCTTAATAATGAAACTCAATTTTCGAACCGTCAGTCATCTGAGGTATCGAAATTGCTAATTTATTGCTCGCATTGATACAAATAAACCGCAACTTTGATCCATAACGTTACCCTCTGTTTCTCCCTAGGCGCTGTGTGATATCGTTTCCGATTTGGTGGATCAGTAGCAACTCTCGGAAAATAATTTCCTAAATTAATCATCTTCGACTTAGGACTTATTGCTGGCGTGCTTTGTAAACTTCTGTAGTGAAGAGGAGACGAGGCCGAAATGGGACTTTGATGTAGAGTTGGTGAGTCGGGTAACGGAGGTACTTCCGGAGGTTCTTCCGGTTCTTCTATTGTTGATGAACACCTCAACGTTGCATAATTTGGTGTATAGTAATTGCCTACAAGCGGTGATCGATACTGTTCAAAAGAAGCTGATGACGAATCACCGGGTGCTTCTTGACTTACAGGCGTCGGATGGCTGCTGGCAGCTGCGTTATTGCTTGACGACAAATTCATTAGTAAATCCTAGAATTTTAGAGCCTTGTCACTCTCCACTCCGTCTTTTATTAGAATTGTTTTACCTTCATATTAATAGTGACGCCGAACGGATTCTTGAGTAAAGTCGGTGACCCTTGCAACTTGTGTCGCTTATTCAGTATTAAAATTACCACAAAAACTACTAAAAGTAACAACATTATTGCCGTTAAGACACCTATGATTATTTCCACGTAAGTATCACTTTCTTTGCGAGCTGCAACTGTGGGAACAGAAAAGTGTTTCAAGAGTAAGACTAATCTTTTGAACTTACTTGTTTCAAAGGCGTCCAATGGGTTTCCATCGGACGAACTAATTACGACTTCGTTTTCGCTAAGATCAAGAGTTTCCTCTTCGGAAATGTTGAATGCGACAGGCACTGAAACACGTAGTCATCAGTTATTTTAATGCTTCTCGTATGCAAACCCTTGTTATGAAAGCTCTCCACACAGATGGTTAAGAATGATAGTACACGTTATGGACACAACATGCAGAAACTGCTTGCGTCAGCGTTTAATACAGCTTGCAAAAATTTTATGAGCATATAAATTTATACGTAATTCTGCAGAACAAATAGTCTGAATTGCTTTTAAACAAGTAGAAAGACGACAAATGTCTGTGTTTTTCTGCCTTTAAACAATGATGATTTGTTGCAGAATTAAAAATATTTTATTATAAGTGAAGGGTTGTAGGCAGTGGCTGTACGTGTGTATATAAATAATTTAACTAAAAAATGATAAGGAAAACATTAAAGAATTGTAGAATTATTGTTTCAACACAAAGAAAGAAATACATTTTTATCATTCACACTTATTTAAAATTAAAGAAGATAAAAACATGATTAGGCAGGCTGGTGCTTGAGATCAATAGAAAGTAAATATCGAAACCCATAACAGAGGGCGTATTACTAATAAAAAGTAAAATTTGAAAATAATGTTGAAATAAATTATTATTTATTACTTTGAGTTCGGAATACAACACCAACACCACCACTGTAACTCGCTTAATGCTAATAAATGAACAATTGTTTTAAAGCAGATACGAGTATTACAAAAAAATGTTGTTTTCGACAGTTAATTCTTTTAGTGCCCGGAATATATTTTGCCCTCTATGAAAATGTTGAGATTTTATAAAAACTTAAATTTTGGAATGATCTGTATATGATAGAATGCCCGACAAACGAAACATGAAATTTACACATAAACATTTGACTATTATTTTTATATAAAATTTTTACTATTTTCTTGAAATTGAAATTTAAAAAAAAATTGCAGAATACGGTATTTATAGAATTCGTCTATTTAAAAAGGTAAGGAACACGTAGAAAAAAAAAAAAATTCGTACAGAGCTAGTTATGTATTCTGTTAGGAATAATGAAAAATTTTGGTGCCATATCTGTTGGGACTCATTGTGGACATCGTATATAAATAAACTAATAAAATTGCTCATCCCACGGATGCCTTAATATTAGCATGAACCGAGTTTTGTTCTGCATTTTCTTATCATTACAAAACTACGATAATATCGAACATGCTAATTAATTAAAATTGTCCAAATTGTGCAGGGCGTGTTCAAAGAGAGTTTGCACAAGAGTTGCGTAATAATTTCCCGCTTTATTGAGCTTCTAGTGATTTAAAAGATTAAATTAATTTAAGTTATGCAGTTGGGCCGAAAAATGTTTTGTTTTAATTAACGCGAGGAAAGAAAAAACAAACGTGTTACGGGACCTAGCGTCTCGTTATGCTGCCGTAGAAGTTACCACATGCGATGTACACGGGCGCAAATTTTATTAAACTTTTATTTCTGCTTCAATATCTCAAAATAAGCAGACAGTTGAAGTTTTAAAATCACACACAACTCTCCAAGTGCATGGTTTATTTATTAAAAAAAAAAATGTGTTGTGCCCAGACCTGTTGTAAATTTCAAGTTCTGGCATTTAGGAAAATATAGTAGCTTCAAATAAAGCTAAAATCAGACTTTAATGCGCCCTGATTTCTAACGATTTTATGCTTTTATACAGAATCCTTTTGCTAGAATCTACTTTTCACAAGGGTAGTTTTTAAGTAATGTGATTATTTATTCGAAATGGATTTGTAATAATTAAGATAGTAGTTTAGACTAGACATGAACAAATTTCGGTTATAATTTGTAATAATATTACTTAATATTTTATTCTGTAAACTAAAGGAAATGTATTGAACGAGCAACATAATTTATAATCGAATCATTCTTGGAATTGAATCCGTAAATGATATGTTTAACGCTGCGTCTAAAAATACGAGATAAAACAAAATTCATTTTAATTGTCGATAATTTTGTAAACCTAAAGCAGGTAGTGAACGGGAAATAATGTATTCTTAATTTCTAGTACTTGTTCAACTTCGACTGTTTATGTCTATACTTTAAACGAAAAAATTCGACCGTTACCACGTTCATCGTGTATCAGCGCCGACATCAAAATATATCTATTTTTCTATTTCGCGATTACAATGACGAGTTTGTGACACTGTTTCTAAAAAAAAAACGGTTAAACAAAATTTAATTTTGTGCAATCGCTTTTAGTGACTCTTGTTATGAGGTTGGTAGTTGTTTACATTTTAGTTACTAATAGACTAATGATACCACAGATCAATGACAATGACAATTTGAACTTAATTTTAAATCAAGTCATACCAATCTAAGCGATTAAAACTAACTAGTTGTTTTTTATACCTATATATTCAATTAAAAATATTAATGAAAGCGAAATAAAAAAAATAACTAGTTACACTCGTTTTACAAGACATCTTGTCGCACTCATTCCTTTGGAGCACTCGTCGCTTCGGTCTTCATACTCCAAATCCATGCTTGCGACAATTGTACATACAACTCGTATATCAATATACTATTGTGTTAAATCAGACTGAAATTTGATTGATTTTGTTTCCTCAACACAGAACTGAGGATTACCATTTATTAAATTAATTAAACACACTTGGTTTTTTCCCAAAAAATATAGATAATAGGAGGAACTGTATGAGAAAAAAAAATGTTGAGGGAATGTTATCACATTGATGGTAGGGATGATTAGAAAATTTTTCATCTACACGATATTCCTAACAAACATATTAAATTTGACAACAATCGACCCTATAGTTTCAGAGATTATCTGTCTAACAAAAATCGACACGGACGGCGGACAGACAGACAGGCGGAAAAGGGATACCTATTTATTTCGTACCCTACAGTCTCGGTTACAATACTTCCTTAGCCTACGCTCGGGAAGTAAAAAAACTAAGATCTTTATGAACCGATTTTTAACTTTAATTTAAATTTTATTTCAGTTCATTAATCAAACTCGCTATGATTTTAATAACTGTCACATGAAACGTCCCTCCTATCTTACTTTTCTTATTTTCTTGGTTGTTACCTCCTCGAAAAATAATCTTTACATTAAAAAAAGAAATATTCAGGACTTTATTTCCCTATTTTGGTATTTATTCAAAAATGTCATTTCCATTGGAGTAGAAAACGTGAAATAAGCTATGTATTTTTAACAAGACCAACACAACGTATTCAGCTACGACCACAGAGCAATGTTACGGACATTTTTTGACAACGGGAAATTTGGGAGAACAAAGGTTGAGAATAACAGAAGAAATTAACGACATAAACAAGAATGCAGAGATGTTGAGGCACGTGACCGATGGAGTTAAACGAATAACTCATTTATGCTTACAACAAAGTGGACGAAATTTTTAGCATTTACGTAATATAATTTCTTTAATAAAATTAATCCTGAACCAGTTTCCCGTGTAACTTCGCACTTAACTTATTAAAAATCTTATTAAAAAGTCTCCGCCACTTTTGATTGTATTTGTCATTTTTTGACATTTATCAGTGTGGTTTAATCACCGACATGCTAAATCCTTTCCAAAAATGACTCGATTACAAATTATGTTGCGCTCGATATAAGAGTGGTGTGCATGTCTATTGAGACAAAAAATTCGTGTCAGATTCTCTACAACACGGACATTGCTTTTAACCGTGATTTATCTCTATTCAGTATAAAGTTAAAGGTTTCTTTCCGTGTAATCTCGGATTACGTGTATTGGAAAACTGAAATATCATACAGTATACTTACAAATTTAATTCAATAACATATTTAGCTTGGTGGAAAATATGGGGTTATTTGGCACACATAACAAATCGTAAGAATATACATATTTATTTGGCAGTCTGATCTAAAATAATAAAATAAATTTTTTGCTTAATTTATAGCCATCTTTTCAGTTTTTGTCCTATGTTATTGACATTATTTTTAGTGATATAGACATTCAAGGGTGTAATGAAATGCGAAAAGAGAATATTTGTAGAAATGCCCATGCACTTAAATATATCGTTTAGGTAATGCTAAAATGAAAAATATTTTTGTAGCTTTGATGATACTTGTTGACATGAAAGCTAACCAAGTATGTAAAAAATTCAGAGGTGAAAGTTACCAGAATCAAAGGCTACTTCACTGAGCATCATCCAGCGGTCCGCGAAAAACAGACGCAGTTTGATGAAACGAGCGAGTCTTTGATGAAGATTAATGGAGACGTTCCGAGCATTTTCCAGCACTCGATCCGGCATGTATGAATAGGACAGGGTTGGGCCATTGTAGAAGCGTCCTCCAATGCTGAACATCACTTTCGCTTTCGAGAAAACCTAAAGGAAAAATGACAAGACAATCAAACCAATTACTTTTCTTTACGAGCTAACCGATATATCAGAGGTGACACTGTCAATAGATTATACTTAGCCAAGAAATTTGCGAAAATTTTGCCGTTAAAAACATTTTTCACTTAAAGAACCTGTATGGTTTTGTATAATACTGGTCTTAATAATTTCATTTAGCGAAAGAACAGCAAGTTTCCTTGTTAAACGTGTGTATTTTTAAGACATTTTTGCACATATTAGACAGTTTTCACATGACCGATCATATCAGTGCTTTTATTAAACTAAATATAAAATAAGATTAACCTATTATACACTATATAAATATTGGTTCTAAACACTGTATTGTAAATAGTAAACAAATCTGAATGTTAGAAAAAACGTGTGGTATTTCTTGTAACGTTGCTGTTATTAATGAATTAGAATTAAGAGGAGCTCTACCTTTGGCTCTTGAGGGGTTGTCAGTACATTTTCAGAATGCGATATGTATATCCATTATTAACAGACTTACTGTTATGAAAATTTCAATGTAACCTATCTGTGTCTACCATAACATAAAGGCAGTTAAAAAAACAGTTTATCATTATCTTTTCCGTTTTTTAATTTTGGCGAAATTACTTTTGGAAATAAAGAAGAGATACATCATCTGTACATCTTCAACATATGTGAATTCTGAACAACCATCGGATTCTAAAGTAAGAACAGTATTTGATATGATTTTTACTTTTCAAGCGTAAGCTCTTACTTCTAGAGTCTGTCTGTCGTCTGTTGTTTTTTTGGAGATTTTTTTGAAGATTTTATGAGACAGACAATGTCCGCTAACCAGAAGTTGTCTAATCACTTCTTCCAACAATTTGATGGTGCCATTTTAAAAATACTGGTAGATAAATCCTACCTAAAAACTATAAAATAACATGCTTCAGGCATTGTGGTTTATTAATCCGCCTTTATTTTTTATCTTAGACGTTTAGATTTTTGAAAGCAAAATCAAAATTGTAACCGATTGATTTGAAACTTTACAAACGCTTTAAGGTTGTTGTAAACATTGTAAATAGCTGATTAAAAATGTTCTATTGATGATTTTGTTACTCATTATATAATATTTTAATAAAAAAAAAATCCACGCTTACTTTTAATTTAGCGCATAATAAGTGTTGTATACAAAATAAAATTTACAGATTCAAATTTTAAAATTTATGTAAGAAACTGGATTTGTTTGATTGTGTTTTAGGGGCTTAGAATGTTCTGTCTAAATAATTGTAGACCAATTTTTTTTGCTATCTGTAAAATAGTTTCTGAAATTACAAAAACCACGCTTCCTAATGAGAATGGCACTCTTTTTGGATTCGTTGAAGAGCAAAAGCCGTCGTAATAAAGTTTTCGGCCGTGACATTACAATATTAGGAGACCATAAAAAAACTCAACTAATGTTAAATTCTATAATCAGTTTCGGATACAATGTCCATTCATAATGTTAGCCGTATCTGTTCACGAGATCTCTTGAGGAAGACAATGGAAATACATTACAGAGGGGAAAACTTTTATAGGATGTGAAAACTATTATCTAGAGTTCTTCTCCTCCATGGAAATTTCTTTTATATATGAGAAAACTGTTTAAAATATCCATAACTCAATAATTAGTAAAGTTATGAAAAATTATATTGAATGAAATAAAAGTCAGTAGAAAAGCAGAAACAGGTTACAATAGTTAGAATAGAGACTTGTCGTACAGATGAAATTATAGATTTCTAATGTTTTATTGGACACAGAAGTAGTTGCATTTTGTATTATACCTAGTCTAGGCAAAAGAAAACGTGAAGAAGCTAAATAATATCAATGTTTAGAAATTAAAAATGTGCGGATTACACTAAACAAAATTTTTTGAGTAAAGGTAGATCACACGAAGACGTACTACGTCAACGAAATAAGAAAATTATCTACATTATCACAAATGAGAACTGCCATTAAATATGTCATTAATCAAGAAAAGACTGAACCCTAACCTATTTCAAACTAAATAGGTAGAAAACTTGAAATAATGAGAAAGATAATAGTTATTTATGTATTGAGGGCATTAATTAGGGAGATTATGCCACGAGGGAATGTTTAAAGCCAGACGAAGGAGGGCTTTAATTTCTCGATGCCCACAATCGGCCATTATGCCCGTGGTACATAGACCGTTTTATAATATTTTAGTTTCTAAAATATTTTTAACCAAACATTGAGTATTTTCGGCAAGATTGTGTGAATTGTGCCGATGCGAACTTTAATACATAGCTGGCTATTATTTTGATATTGTTATGGACACGACGTGGTTTATTTGTTAAATAATTCGATTTTCAAAATGCAAAGTGAAGAAGCGGAAAACGTTTATTCAAAAGAAATTTTAGAAGAATTGGAAGTCCGCCAGGGAATGATTTGATGAAATATTATTTTCCCAACTTTAATAAAAATCTTGAATATCGAAGTTTGTTTGAATAATTAATTAATCTAAATGAATAATCAATCGTTGCTTAGAAATTTTTGACTAATTTGTGCCATAAAGGCCAATTTATGCCCGGATTTGGGTGCTTATAAACAAGATTATGATTCTAAAATAGAATAAAGCCTTTGACATGTTTCTGGATGTCATACCAAATGTAGTGATTATTTTTGTACGCGTAATGGTGAAGACGAAAATTAAATTATTTAAATGATAAATGTTAAAAAAACCCGAAACACAAAAATTAACGTTTTAAAAGTCCACGCGGAACCGAGCTGATTTCTATGCTAATTGTGCTATGATCTGAAAATCTTGAAATGATTAAAGTGATCATCTTGATTAAACCAGCTTTCAAGATAAAAAAAAACTCACTGAAATCGATTAACCCCTTTGGGAATTACAGTGCCACAGACAGATAGCCAGATAATAGGGCCTATTCTGGATCAAACATGGTAAAATTTAAAGGTTGTTAAAAAATAAACAGCCAATCAAATTTAGGAATTTAACTTGTTATTATGGAAATTTGCAATTTAACACTCTCTAAAGTTAACAGGTTTGATTCAGAATTGCCCCTAATAGCTTCAAAATAATAACACCTCTTTTTGCATCGGGGATGAATAAAATGAATGTACTTAGTTAAGGTTGAGGCTAACTCATTTTTTATTTGTCTAACGACCAAAATTATATCATGGACTTTGTCAATGATTTCTGGTATGAAGGAAGTTTTTGCACGAATGGTTTCATAAGAAGAATAGGAATCGTCCAATGGAGGAAAAATCACATCATGGATTTCTTTCACAGTTTTCTTTTCCAAAAAGGAGAATTGAAACATAAACCATTCTCCTAAGAACCTTCGCGATTAAACCAGTTTTCAAACCAAAAAGAAAACTGCATTGATATATGTAGGTTCATCTGTTTGGTAGCTACGGTGCAACAGACACACAGACATCAGCTGACGAAGTTGTGATTCAAAATAGCTAATTAATAACCATCCCCATTAAATCAGTTTTCAACGAAAAAAAAGGCGTTGAAATAGGTCACTCGTTTGGGAGCTGTGGTGCTACAGACGGACAAAGTGGTCAAAAATATTACACCTATTTTTTACATCAGGGATTAAAAATTTAAACGCAATTTTAGAATATGTTAACAACGATTATTATTAAACAGTTCTTGTACTTTAATTTTGAAAATGGTAAAAAATGATGAAGTAGTTAGTTACAATAATACGACGACCGTACTCTTGTATTATTTACAAAAACATTGCGGGTAACACTGTTCAAAATTAAAAGCGGATTAAATTTTTTTTTTGAAAAATGATAAAATTTGATTTTGCATTTTTGACAGTTGTCAAAATTAAATCATTTGAAATTTTGTATCCAACTTAAAAAAATGGAGTTATAATTGTTATTTTGCACTCCTGAACAAGGCGGTTATCTGGGAAAAGTGAGTTAAACTTACAACCCGCTAGTGAATTATAAACCACTTTACCTATTAAAAATCACCATAGTTATAGCTCTTTTACATATACAGTTTCCGACAAAAAATTTCAAACATCACTTTTCTGTCATGTCAAAAATTTTAATGTAGTCTATGCTTTATTGTCATTATTTCGGACAGCTGGAATGTCAAACTTTCAAAATTCCAGCTTACGCTACAGCTACATTCATGTAAGTGTCAAATGTAAAAGTTAAAAATGACTGTCAAATATTAAGGTTAGAAACATCTAAAGGTTGCTTTACACTATCTGACGACTGAATGACATTGACGTCTGAAATTTTTTGGTGGCAACTGTATATGTTGGATAAAATGCATTGCTTTATTGAATAATATTTTTGTCACACCCTGAGTAAAAAATTCTAAATATTGGACTGATGAAACTACGTAATATTTAGAAACATGCTATTCTGAATGTTTCAAATCAGGTTGAATTCGCAATTTTGAGACAATACCAACAAGGTTTTGGAAGGAATGAACATATAAATTGTGATTAGCGATTTACCACGTTTACGATAATCTTAAAAGCATGTGCAGCATGTGTATTACAATGTAAGTAACAGAATCCTGCATTTTGTTTTCTGAAAACTGTATAATATGTACATGGAAATATAACACTTGATTAATAAACCATTTTTGTAGTAGCATATTATTTTCTACAATTTAGATAAGACTTATTTAGGAAAGTTTTGAGATACTTATTTAAAAAAACATCAAAATTTCACAAAAATCTGTCCACTATTTGGGCCAATTACTTATCTAATAAAAGCGCCAAGACGACAGATGTTTTTTAATATTTTTCAAGGTTTAAAACCTCGAGAAAACATGAAATTCGTCATCGCTAATGACTTTTTCATAATAACATGTGTAATACCTACTTCCCGAGGTATTGTATAGTTGCCATTTTTTTTCAGACAGTTCAAACTATGTAGCAGAAATATAATTTTTAAAACAGCGAAGTAATGGGGTGTTTACAGAGGCACCGGGTAGGCCCTTCGGTAAATCACTTGCACAG